ACCAGGTGACACATACTCATGGTCTACCCCTCTTTCTCCTTTGTTTTTCTAGCTATATTACTGAAATTTAGAACATCGACCAATCCCTGCTCAATATTTCAAATTATTCCAAGGTAATGGTCCAGATGTCTTTTGTGATTTGGCATCTGGAAATCAATATAAGAACAATCAATTGATTTCTCTTTGCCCATTTCCTGTTGATCATCTATACAACTATAATAGGGTAAGTATAGATAAGAAATACTATCTTATAGAGTGAGTAGAGAATAACCATAATGAGAATATTGAAAAGTGTTTGAGTCACTTCATATCTACATACCTACTATTTCATACCGGGTGACAACGGAGATAGAGAATAGCTGCGGCGCATTTTTTCGTTCCATTCATGTTGCTAAAATTTTGTTCTTAATCAGACTTTGGGCCCACCTTAGGTCCCACCACTTATAGTTCAACCGTGAGTAGCACCAATTCTTATATATATGTAGGTACAATCAGAATGTGCACGTTCACTCACACCCTGATCTCAAAATGATATCTTCAAAGCTAACATTGTAAGTATCATCATCGTCTTGAAATTGCGACGTGTCGTCTACCCTTTCCTCATTGTCAACCAGTATTGTATCAAGTTATGAACGTTGTAGGTAATCGTACTTACCCTGTAACTTAGATGAGAAGCACATAGCATCTTTAGTCAATCATAATTTACTATTAGAAAAACATGCTTCAGTATGTGAGCAATAACGTCAAACCCGAACTGCATACTAACACCGAATGAACTGGAACATCGAAATGGACGTTACGAAAGCATGCCACTGCTGAAGAATTTACGGACACACGTGTACATTAGTCAGACCGACACCGACCGAGTGTGTACGAATCTTATCATAAGTCACATTGTGCGCTACATTCATGAGTATGAGAGTAGACCGATAATTCCAAGTATTGTTCGATATTAAATGAATTTCCTTGAGATGTGAGAGAGATTCACAAATTGACGCATATTTTTGTTTTATCATTCTGCACAATGTGAAGCAGTTTGTCAATTAAGATACATCGAATTACGACTCTCAACTACTGAAATTTTAGATTCCAAAATTATAGTCTCTGTTATGTCAAGGAGCTTCTTCGATATTATATCCATAATGGTCTCAGATCCTACAGAATGTGATGGAATTTGCGAACTATCTGTCACACGAGGAATTCCGTGTAGATATCAGCGATGTAATATTGTGATTCGCTTTTATGACATCAACTGCCATGAATGCGACATCTCATAGATGTTTGTGTTAACTGGGACGTTCCTGGGATGTTCCATGTACGAAGGAAGGCTATTCCTAGGACGTCCCAAGGATATTCCAGGGACATCCCTTCGACAAAAGAAAAAAATTTGTCGAGTAGGGACTGAACCCGGGACCTTATTCAGCTTATCAGGCACGCATCTTTTACTCTATTGATGGCTATAATATGCCTTCTGAAGATTAATGTACTACACAGATTTATAAACAGTACAAAACTGAAACTTGAATAAATACAACTTTGTTAGGATTTCATGTATAATTATTATCATTCTTGAATGTTGAAAAATGAGGGGCATTATGCATGTACGATTTCAGTCTGCGAAAAATGGTCATTCCTCAAGAAGTTCTGAGACTATGTTCTTTATTTTCATTACAATTATTTTCCGGAAGAAAAGCAAACATTTTCAAAGAAATTCAACTTCTCTTAAGAAGGAATGCTCATCTATTACACAGAGCTGTCATTGCTTGAAATTTGGCATTTCATAGGAGATATTTTGTGAAATAATAACACCAAGAAGTCATTGTGATATCAGATACGTGAATAAAATTGATGACATACAAAGTACCTCATTGATATATTGAACAAAGGATAACAAGGATAATTTTGTGTTATAGCCGTCGAAAAAATTCAGTAGCCTCGCAACTGTCCTTATATTATGGTGTGTTTACTGAGTGAACGCGAGATTTCGGGAAACGTGGTATAGGGACAGTTACAAGGATTTTACTAAATTGAACGAAAAGGTATGGAGATATCTGAGAAGCGATACGATTAAGGCATCTATATATGACTATTAAAATGCAACCGGTTTCTCAACTAAGAGTTTCATTCTCAAATTCTCCTCTTAATTAACCAGCTAGTGTATTGATGAGGGCGGTTGATGATCGAAATACCTCGATCAACATGCAATCTTCTGTGAAATACATATTTTTTTATTTAAATGCAGATTCCAATTATTGAAATCAGAGCCGTGAAACGACGCGGTGTATGTTTGGTTGCCTTTACCATAAAATCGTGCATTAATTAAGAAATTTATCGCGTTAATATAGAAGTGATTAACGACCATTTTCGTGTACATATAGATGAACTTGTTAATTTGAAGTCGACATAAGATACTCTTTTTCGTCCACCTCTACAAAAAATCAGGTTTTACGTTCTAATTTCCGAACAAAAAACCTCTATTTCCGAAGGCAATTACTTTTCGTCCGCAAACACTTTTCGTCTGCTGCAGGGTCGCAAGTTCACATTTCATAACCTACTGAAAAATATTTTGACACTCATTTATTATTATAATTACCTATATTATCATTAATCTTTAGTTTAGGACAATATTCAGATCAAATTCAATTTTTTATATACCTCTGTTATAACAGTTTGTTTTTTACGTTTAATTTTTTATTTGTTTTGTATTTTTGTTGTTCATTGTTACTATTCGTTCATGTTTTTTATATACTCAAAACTTATAAGTACCTATATGTAACTGAATTTTGTTATATTTGTATTTTTTGATCAAGAATTAGGACAATGATTATTTTTTTATGAAATATTTGATTGGTTTGTTTCTATTTTGTTAGAAATAGGTTACTTTTCTGTTTACTGAAAGTATACATAGTGTTTTGACGTCGGAATTTTTGACAAGTCAACTGATGAGATAAAAATCGAGCTGGCAACCCTGGTTCGCGCGAAGAGTGAGTTGAAAACAACTTACCAATGCTGTTGTCAAAATGATATATATGTCCTAAACTGCATCTTGTCTGAGGTCACATAGGTGATTTTCCAGTTTCGGTAACACCCTGTATTGTTATTTACAAGGAAATATTAGTTTTATCACTTTCAGTCGAGCCAGAAGTAACCCTAACTTTTGATCTTTAAATAAGACATCCTGTATATTTTTCATTTTCGAATCCAGGAGATTTTACATACACTAGGAACTTTTTCTGATCAAAATATCAAAATATATAGGTTGTCCCATTTGAAAAATAAAAAGTTGGGGTTGCTTCCGGTTGAAGCAGAAGATATAGCACACTGGTCGTATTTTTTTCGCAGTGCAGAGATGTCGAATTTCTAAATTCGATGGGTAGCAAGTTTACCAAAGTGCCTTTTATCGACAAAAAATATTTATTTTATCACTTCTGCTTCAACCGAAAGCAACCCCAACTTTTTATTTTTAAATAGAGGATAACCTGTTTATGTTCATTATCTGATCAGAGAATGTTTCTAGTGCCCAGCGAGCATAAAAACATCTCAGAGATGTTAAAAGTACGAGATTTCGAGACATTGAACCTCCACTGCGATGTTCTGTTCACACATGAATAGAACTATTATAGAACAGCCAATGTCCGCCGCAGGCGGCAATTATCGAGATGTCCTTGATATGTCACAAAACTACCTTCTCCCTAGTTCTTTTTAAAGCCTTTTCATGGACACAACAAAACATTTTCAACGCGTCTTGCGCACATTAAATCGCTGTAAAAAACATTTTCGAGGTACTTTTCTGAAGCCTTTTGTCAAAATGAACTTTTGCATTAGGATTCCATTTTCCTTGGATGAAAAAATGCATTAAAATTAGATTGAACATAAAAATATTTTCTTGATATGAAATTACTTTCTTAATCGGTTTCTGAGTAGTGCTTACTACACACAGACATATAATTGGAAATAGGTTTCCCAATTTTTGAAATGTTCTCCACAATGCATAATTTTGCAACTGCGGAGAAGCTGTGTATTGATCAATTCGTACTTTCATATATTGATTACACTGAGGCACCGAACAACACATCTTGCATCTGATGGTCATTATTACAAACTAAATAAGTCTTCTAACACAATAAACTTCGCCAAATTCCTTTCTGTTCGTTAGCAGCGTGATGTAAGCGTGACACGCTGCAAAACGCGAATGCCAATTGCGAACAAGAAGAACAAAATCGAAAACAAATCAGAATTCATCGTATTGTAACGTAAGCATGAGACGTTGTGGTGGGGCAAACAAAGAAAGGGCACAAAAGAACAAAAACAATACTTTCAATATCCTTCTAAGTCCTCTTTGGGAAGTGCATATTACGCCTCAAACCTCAAAAAAACTTCCTCATGCCTATACATTTCCAAAACATCCCAGGGATACCTCTCAGTAGGCAAACAAAGAAATGCCACAGAAGAACAAAAACAATACTTCAATATCCTTCAAAGACCTCTTTGGTCAATGCATATTACGTCTCAAAATAACATCTTCATGCCAACATTTTCAAAACATCCCAAAACATCCCAGGGATGTTTGTGCTCGCTGGGTGTATGTAAAACAATCCACTGAATTCGAAAATGAAAAAAACATGCAGGGTGTCCTATTTAAAAATCAAAAGTTTGGGTTACTACTGGCTCGACCGGAAGTGATAAAACGAATATTTTATTGTCAATAAATGAGCCCCCCACCAAAATTTCAAAATCTTATCTCGAAAGATTGAGAAGGTACAGCACTGGCCGTTTTTTGTGCACTCTACATAACTATGTACAAACATTGATATGCACAACGAGGGTCCAAACTGATTTGATTCAACTCGCGGGATTGAATAGTTAGGTAAGTCACTTTAGTCCCGTTAATAAAAAAGATTTCCGCCGCCACTTTCAGTGTAGTTTTAGAGGCCCTTCACCGGAAGACATATAAGTGAAAGTAGATGACACAGACTAGTTCACCATCAGACATGAAACAAACACAATTCACAGTTGTTAGATAGGGAATTATTCAAATGAGTCAGCTCGAGATTGACTATTCACCAAGCCGGTGGTCCAAAAGGCTTAAAGCAGATCAGATTCTGGTAGAACATCTGAAAATAACCAGCGAACGTGAGTACCTAGTCAATAAATTGGTGTAGATATAATGATATCGATAAAACAAAGTTTTTCCACCACTAGCTCTGAAACCTACCATTACCTATTTACTCGTTTTCGATGAGTGAAGTGGGTTTTCACTACCAAGGTAGTTTTCGCCATTTCATGAACCAGACTGTAACATTTTTCGTAAAATTTAGGTAGCAGAGCGATTGAAAAAGAAGTCCCTTGCGATCTCAATATACCGTATGGTCCAGGAAAACGAGAAGTGATTGACATTTATGGCACAGATTTACTGAGTGGTAAGTTCTTCTGTTTTGAGAAAATATAATTATATGTAATGAGAGACAATGTAATATCAGCGATTTTTTTGTTCTATCAATCCTAATTAGAAAACGGGGATGGATCATACATAATATTAGTTATTTATACACCAATGTTGTAAAGAATATTACTTTTACCCAGGGATCAAGATTATATCTCGAGGCTCCAGCCGATAAATATAGAACAATTCGTATATACAATCGACATCCAATCTACTAACTTTTTATATTTTTCCTGAAAAAATTTTCACTTCTGGAAAATCAAATTTTGTCTCATTTTTCATGGAAGCACCCACCCCCGTATCTTACGTAATTATTGAGGTAGGGTTCTGAAATTTGCAGAAGAGGAGGAGGGGCTAAAGATCACGTCAATCACGTGAGATACGAGGATACTTCCATTGAAAGTGAGGCAAAATTTAATTTTTCAGAAACAACAAATGTCCAGGAAAAATATAAAAAACCGGTGAACTGGACGTCCGGATTACGAATTCGAAGTGATTTTCAACCTATCTTGCCTCCTAATATCATTTTCCGGAAATGTGGGTGGTACAATGGCTGTTGGCGAGCAGTGTATTCCACTGAAGATGACTTCACTGGGTTATATTGTGTATTTTCAGTATACCTCGCGCTCCTGCAAAGTTCAGAATTCTAACTCAACAATTATCAAAGATACAGGGGTGTTTCCTTTAGAAGTTAAACACACTGTAGATCAATATTCTTCAATATTATCTTTTGTGGTTGTATTTTTTCCATGTCATGCAGTTGTTGAATACAAATTAGGTTATTGCTTTGACAACCAACATCATGGTAACGAGTAAAAATGAACCCAAATCCAAGTTGTCAACTTCCGTTGAAAGCTGGAATCAGTTAGGCAAAATTGTTGCCATAGTCACCATTATCATAGTACAAATGCACAAAAACCAAGATCCCCTAGTGAAGAAATGCATATAGTTGTCAATTTCTCAACATATTATTTCCGAGAGAGCGTGATTCTAAATAATATCTCCTAACAGCGTGTTTCACTTTTAATGCACTCTCTTCAAGTCAGATTTTAAACATGCGAATTCAACAAAATTTAACTTATTTTGCAAACCACTTACCTACATGATTAGTTTTCGATATACAGACATATTTTGGATGGTGTCGTCGTGTACTTTGTATTGAAATTGGCCGATTTTCAGCAAAATCATATTATAGGCATAGATTATTACCAGGAAAATTGAATCCATGGTATTATTATCATGCTTTGAACCTTCCCATGATAAATTATTCCACCTCATATCAAATTACCTCGTAGGATCAGCTTTAATTCTCTCATTATTAATATCGTCCTCCAATGAATTACGGATTGCATGACAACGGTTGCTATAGCAACAGTTTTTTCATAACTGATTCAGCTTGAGAAAACTATGGCCAGTTTTTGTATATAAAGATCCACCCTGATAAATTCAACGATGTCCATCAAGGTTGTGGTAAATTATCCGACACAGAATGTGAAAAAATAATTTGAATCAATACCTATAAAAAAAGGAAATTCCTATAATATTAGAAGAACATCTTGCAAAGTTTCGTATCTAATTAATGTATATAACCAAGAGTGATAGAACTGTTGAAATTTTTCTTTTTCAGATGCTCCTATTTTCATCATATTCCATGGTGGATACTGGCAAGAGCAGTGTATTAAACACAATGATTTCGCTTTCATGGCAAAAAACCTATATGAAAAAAATATAAAATCGATCTATGTTGGATATGAACTTTGCCCAGATGTCACAATTAAGGAGCTTCAAAGAAATACAGAGAAGGCTATGAGGAAATGCTTGGAATATGTCAGACAGTTCAAGCCAAAGTAACTATAACTTTATATTTACCAATAATTCACACTCATTGAATATCAAGTCTACGAAGAAATATTTAGGTAGGATAGCCAACTATCTTGTTGGTTTTATATTGAAGAAATTTTGATAAGAAAGGCATAAAATATATCTTTCCTTCTGAAATTATAAGTGTGGAAACCTATGATGGAAGTAAATCCGTATGCATAACAGAAATATATTTAAAAATAATATTGGACAGGTTGATTTCTATTGCTGAAAATCTATTTCTTTTACGCGAAAGAGTTGGCAGGTTGGTTGAAAATATTCAAGTAAAACAGTATATTGTTTAAAGAGCACGGAATGATAGTGCTTTCCCACGAGAATGAAATTAGCATTCCGTGCAAGTTATACACTAAAATTTTTCTACTGCTATAATAGATAACAGCGGCATTTTCGATTTCTTCGTCTTGTAGCCATCTGATTTCCTGTCAAGTAATGCTCATCTATTAGACAGAGCTGTCATTGCTTGAAATTTGACATTCCATGAGCGATGGGATTTTCTTGATATAATAACACAATGAAGTCATTGAGATATCAGATACGGAAATAAAATTGATGACATATAAAGTACCTCATTGATGTATCGAACACAGTAAAACAAGAGCAATCTTGTGTTATAGCCGCAGAAAAAAATATTTCTAAACATAAAAATCGGCCTGTTCGAGAATGTTTTGAAATATAGTTCTAATATGGAAATACGGATATTATTCCATTATAGGTTTCCATACTGCAAAGGTTTCTATACCTTCTCGTCATCACGATTATATCATCAAATAACATATAATATAACAATTGAAACAAATAGAGCTCATGCAGCCAGGAATTAGACCCCTTCCGTTGGTAGAACAATAGCTATTCTATCTACTCACTGCATCGAAAGTAAGCGTTTGCTTCCGCATTTAAGGACACCAACCTGTCAATTTACTCCCACGGGAGTAAACCGAATTTTACCTCACGTGGGAGGTAAAATGAATCGGCTTCAGCCGTTACCACCGATAAAACAAGGCCTGCATGCTCCGTGGGTGACGTCACTTAGTCAGGCCTAACCAGCGGCTCGAAACGACAAGCGCTTATAGCGCTATAAGGCGACCACGTATTTCGATTTTAGTTTTAGATCATTATTGAGCCGATTTTGCTTTTTTTTGAAGGGCTTCCGGTTGAAAGAGGATGCCAGCCGTCAACTGAGCCCTTCTTCGCATCCCATTCGATTTTATTATGGAAAAACGAAGTTCCAAAGCAAAAATCAGAATAAAACACAAATACCCACCTACAGCAACCCATTCGAATTAAATATATTGGCAAAAATTGTAGTGATTCAATCTCATTAGAGGTAAACTTCACACCTACTTATACAGGGCCCGCAGAACATAAACTTATCATGAGATTGATCGAAAGAAAATTGGGGAAAATGTATTTTAATTTGATAGACATTTTGAGAGCCAAAGCGACGTTTTGTCTTTCCATATTCGAGGGAAATAACGCCTTCAGGTTCAACGAATATCCAAATTTTAATAATTTATCATGTTCTAATTCGTGAAGGGGTTTTAAACTATGAAAAGAAGCAACTCTTTCAACCCCTCTGTTTCAAAATCGGGATAATTCAATTTATGGTCTGCTGGCCTTGTTTTATCGGTGGTAACGCTTCAGCTTGCTTCCTTGGTAGATATATACGTATAAGATCTGTGCTACCCAAGTACCCTAGCATTGTCTCCTCCACTACTATAAAACAAATACAAATTTCCTTTCCAAACTCTGATACATTTATACACTTCCAAATGTTCCAAACTCACAATCGAAAGTCGAAACTTTAAATAAAATGCAATATCGTGGATCACAATAAACAAATTCAATATGACAGAAGTGTCAAATCAATTTTCGTTCAGATTTAAATATACTGTCAATAATTGTCCATGGCCACACACTCTTTGGGCGCATACTACACTTTTGTAACCTTAGATCATGACACATTAATTTGGATCGAGACTCGAGAGACAGACCCTCGGATAGAGGATATATGCATTCGTGGATAAAATGATATATATATATATATCTTGGGAGCGAAAGTTCATTTCCTCCCATGTGTGTTTAATGCTTCGCACGCGGGAGGAAATAGATACCTTTGCTCCCTTGATATATAAATAGCTATTAAATCAAGGTAGCAAAGGAATCCATATCCTCCCGCATGTGAGGTTTATTGATGCCCGACGCGTAACGGATGTTCAACAAATATAATTCAATGTTCGACGTGGCAAATAGCTAAGAAAGTAGTTGTTTTCTGTTGAATATACCGAGAAAGAATTAATATTTTCTTAACATGGAGAATGCGGATTTTCAATGTATTTCTTCATACATTTTTTTCATGTTCATAATATGGGAATATTCCATACCCAATCAAGGGGTTCAAACTTGAATCTTATTTTAATTGACCTCTAATCGCAGATTCGTGATTGGGTTTACTCAATTTAGAATTTCTGTCCATGTCCTGTATGATGAATATCAGGTCGTCATGCATCCAAAAACATATACATACAGGCATTGAAATAAGTGCAAAAATTTCAAACACTGAGAAAGCTCGACGTGTGCTATCGAATGGGATCAAATAAAATTTGAGGTTAGACCCCTTTTTCCACCCAAAGTCCTACACTGTGGTAAATCTGACGTCACATCTGTTCAAATTTCCATGCAGTAGGCAAAATCAAGCGGAGTTCAATCATTTAAATTGTTTTCAAGTGGCGTACTTGATTTTTTTCTCGTATTTTGTTCAATTTGTGGGATGAAATTTCTCGTTAATTAGAAGAATTAGAAAAAATCTGATATCATGGGAATATTCCTTAGACTGTATCATATTTAATGTGCTGAATATGTGCACTTATTTCGAAAACACCTTGTATATATATATATATGATTTTATCTACGAACACAAATATTTGAGAGTTCTTAAAATTGTGTTTTAGGCGGTCTATTTCAAGTATCGATCTTAATCAATATACACGGGGTCCCAGAACAACGTACCATTAATTCGATAATATACAGTGTGACCCATTTAAGATGGAAGCACCCTTATAAAACTTACATTTTTCAACCGATTGGAATGATTTTTTTTTTGTTAGGTAGATATTCAAAAAGTCTATTAGGACACCAAATGTCATGAATAAATCTCCATTTCCAGGGCCAACTAATCTGATTTTTCAAGGTCGAAAATCTAAAAAAATTACTAGCGATTTTTTTAGAAAAAATCTGATCACACCACTGGATTTGTGACATTTTCAAATGGGTAACATGTAAATTACGTTGAAATGCGTCAATCAATAAGAAAGTTATAAAGGAATGAAATTTGAAAAATATGCCGTTTAATCAACCCACCAATTCATGTTCAGGAATTTTATGAGAATTCTGTATACTCCACTGGATTCAGGATGTCTTGAAATATTACTGATCACAGTTTCATCGAAATCTGTTCAGTAATAAAAATTGATGGGTTGATTAAACGGCATATTTTTCAAATTTCATTCCTTTATAACTTTTTTATTGATTGACGCATTTCAACGTAATTTACATGTTACCCATTTGAAAATGTCACAAATCCAGTGGTGTAGTCAGATTTTTTCTAAAAAAATCGCTAGTATTTTTTTTAGATTTTTGACCTTGAAAAATCAGATTAGTTGGCCCTGGAAATGGAGATTTATTGATGATATTTGGTGTCCTAATAGACTTTTTGAATATCTACCTAACAAAAAAAAAATCATTCCAATCGGTTGAAAAATGTAAGTTTTATAAGGGTGCTTCCATCTTAAATGGGTCACACTGTTACATATATAAATAACCATTGTTGTTTATCTCGGAAACCAAGAAAAATAATAAGGCAACTGCATTTAGAAAAAAGTAAGATAATTGATTTAGTCATTCTTCGAAACATCAAAATTTTGTCGCAGTGCCGTACTCCAAGAAATTTCCAATTATTCTCATCAAAGAGACTGCGAAATACCTAACTCCCAGTAAATTGATTGAACTGGAACAACATGTTTCACATGCACATTCACTATAATGAATTGCCCTAGGAATTTCAGAGCAGCACCTTTCAACGATTTCGAAATATTGAAGAAAATTGTACTTCATTGTCCTCTCACGGCACAACGGTGTATTTTCGTATAGAGTTGAATTGATTTCAATCAGCCTATTTTGGTATCTAGTTAACCCTGTAGAATTCATGGTACGTTGTTCTGGGACACCTTGTTTTGGGATTACAGTTCTCTGTATTTCAGGGGTATACATCTAAGTGGGCATTCAGCAGGCGCTCAGATAGTAGCCAACTTCTTTGCTAATTTCATCCACAATCTTGCAGAAGAAGACAGAGAGCTGTTCAAATCCGTGTTTTTGTTAGGAGGAATATACGATCTAACACCTCTACTCTCCACCAGTTATAATATTCCTCTGGGATTAGATCAGCAATTAGCAAGTGAAGCCAGTCCGCTTCTTCAAAATTTAGCAGCCGATGGAACTGTATTTCATGTGGTAGTGGCTGAAAATGATAGCCCTCCGTTTATTGAACAAGGGAAACTGATGCATAAACATTTGCAGGAATTGAAAATTGATTCGAAATATATTTTTGTACAAAATGTTGACCATTTTGATCTTATAGAGAAGTTGTATGAGAGAGATTATGAACTCACTAAACTCATTATAAGTAATTGTGTCGATTGAGTCTAGATTCGATTTATAATTTCGATGCGCTTAGTTTTAGTGTATTCTATTGTATACATCCCTTTGTTGTTATTTTCTTGAGTATACGGAGAAGCGCACAAAAAACGGCCAGGGCTGTAACTTCTGAATAATTCGAGATCGGATTTCGAAAATTGGTGGGTAGCTAGTTTATCGAATGACAATAAAATGTTTGTTCCATCAGTTCTGGTTTCACTTGAAACGACCTCAAATTCCGATTTTCAAATGGGACACATTTTTACCGCCGGCCATCTTTTAGGAGCCAGACTAAACTGCGAAGTGACTCCCATTGAGCATGGAAACTTCGAATGTAGATATCTTCGTAATTGTTTGAAATAACCTTATCAAACCCGGTATCGTTGAATTCGTTTTGATAAGCCCTAACTGATTATGGAATACAATACAGGTTATCCTACTTAAAAAGCAAAAGTTGGGATCGTGTCTGGTGAAACCGGAACTGATAGAAAAAAAAATGTTTTGTCAATTGAAGAGCAATTTGGTATACTTGCTACCTACCGATTTTACGAATCCGATTGCGAATGATTCAGAAGAAACAGCACTGGCTGTTTTTGTGCACTTCTCTGTATAGCACCTACCAATATGAAACGACCTACCTCGCCCTTCCTCATGAAAATCTGATATTAGACTTCTCGAGGACAATAAACAATGATTGGAAGTGAGGTTTTGTTATCCAATACAATATCCAATTATATTTAATACATATTTCAGAATAACAGTTCAATTCACTTAGGAAGTGATTTGTTTTTTAGGACACCCCTTGTAATCTTCTCGCCAAATATATTCAGTGGCAAGAACAATAAATTGAAAGGCTTTGTGAACAGAGCTTAATTATGAAGCAAGTTCGAATAGATATTCTCGAAAAAAAAAGTATTTTTACTGAAATATGGCGTGTTGGGTGTTTTTACAGTCGGCAGATGAAACAGTTTTTTTTTAATTATGTCCGGAATGAAACAAGCAAATAAATCGATGTGCCGTGGATTTGGCTCAGACTGCAAGATCTACCATTCAATTGGTATCGAATGGCATATAATTCTTATCTCGTTTTCAAATTTCCGCACAGGACCAATACTTTTGCTCAGGATGGTGATTGACACAGGTGCCGTTCAATAAACTACAATGTTATTCATCAGGTTCACTTCACTGAAATCGTCTCCGAGGATTTTACGAGTGTCTGTGGATATGTTGAATGTCTAGAGGATTTCGGAACTTGGGACACTCTATTAGCACATATGTGTGGTGAAATTTGTACTCTGTATATGTTTATAATTAGTTAGTCAAGTTTATTATGACGTTGTCAATCTATCAATGATGATAATTTGTCAGTATAGTTTTCAGTTGAATAAATTGTCCGAATATGCGTCGATAACTTGGAAATATTTGAATGTGATGTGATTTGATGAAACTTTCATTGAGGTATGTCTCTGAACTCCCAGTATCAATAAGCGCATCAGCCAGTATCTTGTTCACAAAAACTTCTGTCAATGACTTTGACAAGCATTTCGGTGCAGCTACCAATACTGAATTTTGATTCTCTGTAATGAGGGAAGCTGATGTTTGCTTTAATTTTTGCCTGCTTCTACAAACTTTTTGAAAGTGACCTCTTTTTCCACAAGAGCCACAATCAACATCTTTTGCTGGACATAATTTTCGTTCATGAAACTTGTTTCCACAAAAATAGCACTTCATGAAGGGATTTCCAGAGGAACTCGCTACTAAATTTTCAGAATCAACTGTAGCAGCAAGACTTGAAGACGACGAGTACACTTCGGACTGCTTCTGGGCAGATTCGAGAGAACGGGCTTGATCTTCTGCATCTTTGAGAGTTAAAGTTCTATTTTCCAAAAGTCTTTGTCGAATTTGAGTCGAGAGCAATCCATTTATGAATGTATCTCTTATGAAAAAATCGCGATGATCTTCAGCAGAAACACTTATGAAGTTACACTCTTTTGCCAATAGTTTCAAAGCTTGCAAATATTGATCAATGTTTTCGTTCGGTATTTGCTTTCTAGTCGACAATTGATGACGTGCAAAAATATCATTTCTTTGTTTTACATAAATTTTCTTCAGATTGTCAATAGCACTATCATATGTATCACATTCAGATATTAGTTCATAGATAGAATGACTTACATAGTTTATCAATAGCTTCAATTTATGACTTGCGTCTAGGTTTCCAATAGATGTTAAAAAATTTTCGAACGTTTTGAACCAATGCATCCATTCCTGTGCTGCTTTAGAGGAATTAGGATCTGTATCGAACCGAGGTGATGTAACCCTACTTTTCAAAAATGATAACCCTGAATCTGATATGTTAATCACGGATCCTCAACATGAAACTATCACTACTCCTCATCAAGAAAACTGCGATCGTGCTTCTACTTCGGATTTTGGATTGACCATACAATCTGAAACATCTGACGATAATGAGAACCCAAGGGAGTTAATGAATACTCATTCAGAAACTATGGAAGATAGAGAACTGAATAACCGAATATGCGTCGATCCAGGGGATGCTAACAAAGAAACTAGACCTACTAGAAAAAGGCAACCTCCAAAGCACTTAAATGATTTCATTCTAAATTAAGTGGCGGAGAATGTGGTGAAATTTGTACTCTGTATATGTTTATAATTTGTTAGTCAAGTTTATTATGACGTTGTCAATCTATCAATGATGATAATTTGTCAGTATAGTTTTCAGTTGAATAAAGCCTTCAATTCTGAATAGGTATATCACTACAATATGTTTCACCGACAGATTCGTTTGGCACTGGTCACAGATTGGCGCTTCAGTTGTTCATGCAGTCATTTTCGATCATTTACAATTCAAAAGTGAATGATCAATAATTTTGACAGTGGCGCCCGATACGATTTCCATTCGATATTTGACATCTTTGAAGCCAACCTCACAATACGAAATGTCTAACCCTCGAAAATATGGAAAATTCGAAATATGTTTTATCATTCTAAAAAACAAGGGGTCATTTTGCAGTGTAAAATGAAAAACAGATTCATATATCATATATTTATGCTTTTACTTATAGTGTCACACGAAGCATTAACTCTAGAAAATACTTCAATTTTACAAAAAGAAAAATATTGCACTTTTTCGGAATATGGCACAGAAACGGCACAAATCTTAAAATTAAACATGTATACCAGAGATCGCCTGTATGTAAGCATTTCACTTGATTCCCAAGTCATAATTCCCATTATCTACAGATTCACATTTTTATAAGTTCAATGAATATCACAATAATTTAGACTAGACTGAATGTACACAACAAACATACATATAAAAAAGTTTAAAGTATAATCACATAACAAAGTTCATTTGTTGAAATATATTTTTGTTTTTTGAGATAGGAATTATGTGTGGGATTCTCAAGCAGTGACAAAAATGAAAATAAATAATTGTCATCTGCTGATCAGAAGCTACCAAATAATTGAAATTGCACATCAAGCTCAGAGCTGAAAAGTATCTGAAACATCTAATATACATATAACATCTAGGAGAACTGAAATATGAATTATCATATCTGGAACACTCGAAAATGATTCAAAATCTATCATTCTCATAAAATCTGAATAATCAATCAATTCCTGCGTGAGAATTAGTTGAGCATGCTGAAATGAATTGTATTGCAGAAAATGAGTACACAGGGTGTTTGGTGTTCGTATCATTTCCTCTTTCTCCAACCGAAAAATATTTATGATGAAGGAGATACATATGAAAAAGCCATTATATTATAAATTTTTCACTCCACTAGAATACAAATGGATGATAGATAGATATTTGAGGAATATTCAGGACCTACTACTTTATATATCCCCTAGTAGAGTTCATTGAGGATATACAGGATATTGAATTATGTCAGGGCAATAGAGAAAGTCAGAACAATTTAGTTTTTTCAAGAAATTTAGGGAATTGTATGTCTTTTTTTTCAAATTTGGATATCTTTATTTCTTGGCTAAGAATTAGTGATCACGACAATTACGAAAAATTACACAATGGCGTTAGTAAAAGTGAAGTGTTCACATGGCACAAGTTTAAACTTGAACGAATTACAAAAATATACATTGAAGTAGGTTTCGTAAACCTCAATTTATCGACGCTCCTGTGTAAATATCGAGAAAAAAATATATCGACCTGATGCACTACAATCCTCTGTAACTCCTGTATATCAGTAATATTTCAAGAATATATAACAGGTCCCTATAAAAAACAAGATCCCGTCGGTGATCAACCTTGATCAAACACCCTGAATAAATGGAAAAATATCACGAATCACACAGCCAAAAACATTCCTAAATAATGTATCAATACTGAGTATTCATAAAAAATTCTTTATCCCGCTTTTGCTGCAGCTAGAACTAAAATAATTTACTATTTCATCAAATGGGAAATCACAATTTTCCCTCATATTATATACACTTATATACCTATTTGTATATACAGGGTGTTATTTTAGTATCTGGCCAAACTTCAAGGGGTGATTTCTTAGGTGATTATAGGCCTGTTCGTTTGTGCTTGCTCAACCTGCTGAACTTGATTTTTTTCTATGACTTTCTTTGTTTACATCATAGCATGAAAAATCAACTTTAGCCAGTTTAGCAATACAAACGAACAGGCCTTATGAGACGAAACTTTCATATAAACGTAGGTCCGGAAATGCATAGTTTTCTTGAATGATGTCAAATTAAAAAAAAAAAAAGGGTTCTTTTTAAATATCATGGGAATCCTTCACCCAATTTTGTTGAAATTTGGCAGTGTTATTTGTAGTAGTAAGGGACAAGTTTTTGGTAAGGTTTGACATCCTACTAAAATAACACCCTCTTTATACATACATCCTGTAGCTTTATTCAATTGAAAAAGAATCGAAGCTTTTCTATCTAGATATCTAAGATAACTCCAATAATGAAATCATGAAATGAACAAGTTTCGAGAAGGTATCCAAGATTTGAGAATAAAAGACCAACTGATACATCTAGAGATTCATAACTGACAGTATGAAAACTGAGCCATCATCAACAATATCTTTCAATAACAAGTCAATTCAATGAATGAGATTATTCAATTGCTTGAGTAAAAAAGTAAACAAACATAATATGTTTGCCTGAATTATATACAATGAGAATTTGCAATAACACAAAAAACAATAAAACCTCTAATTGAAAGACAAGTAGGTACCTTCAATTGAAACCATGTTAGCTAAATTATTATGATATATCTTAATGATATAAAATCTAATGACAGATTCATTGGTAATAGTTCTTTTCAAAATCATATCAGAACATGGTAAGGAAGCGTGATTTTTTTTATATCAGCCTCTTTTTATAATATGAAAAAAATTTGTTCTCGGCATTTCGAGTTGAAAAATCTTGAGTGAGGTTGTTTTTGTATTGGTTGTTAAAATAGAACACACTACCATTTCTACGAAAGATGGGCCTATCTTTCAGGTCAATAGGGAATTCGGACTATGAGAGATGAATGTGTGATGCATTTTTCTCTAGATTAGAGCTGAGAAATGAAAAAACGAGATTCTAGTAGCACAAATCCTTATCTTACGAACGGTTCCAATTTTGATATCCACATACATACCTGTTAAAGAATCTTGCCTTAGAAAATTAGCCATGACCAATCTCAATCATCGTCATCCTCATCGTCATCGGACACATACTTCTTTTGAGTGCGCTTGCGCCTGGTGCCGAGTTTCTTATTCTTGAGCTTTATCTTCATTTTCATCGTCGTCTCTCCGTCCGACTTGTCCCCTTCTTCTTTCTCATCTTCTTGCTCAGATTCCCCACCACCTAGATTCATGTAACATAACCTATTGATACGATTTCCATTTGATGCCATGCACATACAATTTATGACGCAAGTTTTGGATTCTACATTTCTTAGTCACGGTTGGAGATCGTTTTCTATGAGTTCCTGTTGCGTTCGAATCAACAGTGTTGCTCCCGAGCTGGCGCAGAGAGATCAGTAGATACAAAACAGAGAGAACAAAGGGGCTGAAGGACCATTCATCAAACTTCCATTGCCACTTGGTGTGTACAGGGTGGCCGGAATTCGAGCCTCATCATTGGGATCTCGTTAACCGTAAGAGATACGGGGTCGGTCAGATCAAAATGCCGTTTTAAAATTCTGAATACTTTTGGAAAAAACTGAATATTTGCGATGTCATATCAATTTTTTTACGACTCTATTTGAATATATGTAACAAAACAAACTACACATTCTCATTGGTACTTTCTGTTCTACATAATGGTGTTATCAGATTTTCAAACCGACGTTTCGTCAGTGAGCTGCCGTCGTCAACTTTTTTTCTTTAAAGACGGACCTGTATTTTTTATTATGTATTTTGAGAGCTTTCAATCTTCTGAAATCAACAGTGTATCGCATTTATTTGAGAAAGGTGTTTGTTTTTATATCAATTAAAATTAGAAATAAAATTGCAATCTGTTTCATTTCTGTTCATAGTTGTACGATGAATTGATGTATATCATACACAGGACGTGGAAAGAAATTCTGAATTGAGAAAACCTAATCCCGATTCTGAGTTCAATACAATCCCTTGATTGGGAAAGAAAGTATTGAAAAGGAATATACTTAGGAAAGTAGTTGTTTACTGTTGAGTATTCCGCATGATATTATGTACTTCCATATATATTTATAACTGAAAAGGGGTGTAAATTCTCCTTTCCAGAAGATTTTATTTCAGAACTCTTATAGTGTGTGTTAATAATGGGAAGATATAATTCAATGTTCGTCGTGGCATATAGCCAGGGAAGTAGTTGTTTTCTGTTTTGTGAAAACCATTTTTTTTTACTCTTAAAGTACCGTCAGAACAAAGAACTTTCGATTATTTGAGGAATATAAGTAAATGAGATTGGCGGACCGAGTTATCATGTACAGAAATGTACAGATACCAATTAAAACTCGTCCGCCGTGTTGTATCCGCAATCTTGAATTTCTTAGCGTTGACGAGAGATTCATAATCTCTGCTCCAAAATCCTCCAAACACCAATTTTGAAAACATCGGATAATAATTACAAAACTCGTACACCATATTGGATCCACCATCTTGAATTTCCTAGTTCTGACGAGAGAATCATAATCTGAGTCGTTAGTTCCATTTCAAAGAAATCACCAAGTATTTACCTTGGCTGCCGCCGTCCATCTCTATGCGCTGCTTGGCATTAGAGAAGACCGACTGGAGGACGATGCTGTCTTCGTGGATCAACGAGGCCTCCTCGTTGTATATCTGGGCGTTCTGGCAGAGCAGCATGAAGTCGCGTTCGAGGTCGGCGAAGTCGGAATACTGAGAGAAAAACGAGCAAGAGGTAAAAACACGAAATTAATTTGATTTTTTAATGTAATTGAGATCTTGGATATTGCATAATCATACTTGAACTGGATTGTGGTTGAATAATCAAATACAAAATATCACCACAACAATATTTAAAAAAACCTAACTACTATCGAAAGTGATTGTAGATATTGGTGATATCCTATGTTTCACAACGTAATTATTTTACGATTCAGAAAGCGGTTTTACTGCAATGAACATAGTGTCAAACTGAATCAGAGTGCTTGGAACTAGAGATGGGAACAAGAAATCTTAAATCCATCAACTGATCCCTATTGTGATTAATGTAAATAGGTACATTCTGATATGTTTGAAGTGTAAGGGTGGCTAGTCTCAAGATCACTTGATTCATCAAAGTTTACTATGAACATCAAGTATATCTTCAGAATGGGGAAGACCACTGAGGGAAGAAATCCTTGCAAACCTCTTTCAATCGACGAATCATGATTTACGTTTGATCTACAATCAATATTATGAGTTGAAGTTGAAAGGAATCGAATCTATATCGTTTTGAAATCAGCATATTTCATTCGTTATTTCGAAAAGCCAAATATGATGGTGGAGCTGTGACGTATTAGTCCCGCACTGTAGCTATCTCTCTCTGATACCACCTGATACCTCGTCATTCTGCAGTGTTGCAGTGTGATTGGTGAGTTCAAGGACAATAGGCGTGTTGGGACTAAGACGTCGCACCAGCCTCACCAATGAATTGACCAAATTTCAAATGGCGCAGGAATTGTGTATTTAGAAATGGACATATTCTAATTTATTTTTTTCATCGTCTTAGCATGAATGGGAAAATTCAAAATTAATTCACTGGTAGTTTTTCAGTATAGAGTTCACGATAATGTTGTTTCAAAAAATCAGTGGTCTCCCCCATTACCTATTTTCATTTATTTCAGTTATTGCATTACATTCTCTTCTTCATTGATACATTTCATACAAATAATATAGAAGACTATAAATGTTTTTTTGTAATAAAAGCTACGTTCAGTCCTTGCGAATCGGAATTATCTTACAAATTCATCAAAACATATTTTCTAAAATATCTTGATAGCTGAAGTCACTGCTGAGGTGGTGGTTTAACGAACATTTTTCCATAAGTAGTTTTTCTCAATACATCGTCTACTAACTCGGTGATATAACTCGCTGCTTTCCTTTATATTTGTCATGAGTATGAATAATAGTAATATAATATATTGATACTTGAAACTTGAGCACATTAGAGTGTTATTACAATGGCGCAGTCGGACGGAGTTAGAGAATCGGAATTCACACGAATTGATTACCAACATGCAGAAGGATCTGGAGACCAAGATAATCATCAAAACATTATGTTTGGTAAAGATGAACTCGATCATTTGATGACGAAATGGATGACAATCATGTCAAAGAAGACAGAACAGCCAAAAATTGAACAATTTAATGGTATTGATGAAGATCCAAAATTGTGGTTGAACTCATATGAATATGTATGTCTCTCAAATAATTGGAATTCTGATGCTGAAAAAATATTTAATATGAGAAACTATCTGAAAGGCGTATCAATGAACTGGTATGAAGATAGAATCCACCAGCATGGAATTATAAACCAATTTACTTGGAACGACTGGAAGACGAATTTCATTGATACGTTTGATGAACACTTTCTGAAGAAATGGGAGAAAGCATTGTCATATAAGTTTCATGATGGAAACATCGTGGAATACTTTTATGAAAAACAAAGAATGCTTACCTGGGCTGATGATAAATTATGTGAGAAATCGGTTATCGCTTTAACAATTCTTGGTCTGCCATTTTATGTTAAAAATCAGCTGACTGGTAGAGTAATTGGTTCCAAGATAGAGCTGTTAACTATTTTGAAATCATTAAGATTTGGCAATCCACAACAACGGTCAGTGAACAGATATAACCAAAATGGAGTAGCAGAAGGAAATAAAGATAACAGACCAATGGAGAGAAGAAACAAACCTAATAACGTAAATAACAATTATTGTAATTCTTTGGAAAATGAAATAAATGAAACTGAAAATTATATGAATTATTCTACACAAGAAGACATGAAAAACCAGGCTACACAATATATTCAAATCAATAATGACCAGGTGAAATTTTTATTTGATACAGGATCAGATATAGACTTGATTGACGAAGATTTAGTGATGAAAAATCAGTTTCCCTTGAAAAAAGCCAATATTTGTATAAGAAGTTTAGCTGGAATCACTAGATGTTCATACAGATCTGAATTGACAATCAAAATATCTGATAAGAATGTCACGATAGTGCCTGCTGTTGTGAAAAATTTATGTTTCGGAGTTATCATTGGACGGGACACATTGAACAGATTGAATATTTTCAAGATGCATGAAAATTCATGGTCAGGAGAAGTGGAATTTTGCGAAACTAATATTAAAAAGAACTATCTTATGTTGTTGTCATGAGTATGAATAATAGTAATATAATATATTGATACTTGAAACTTGAGCACATTAGAGTGTTATTACAATATTCAATCGTATTAAAGATCGTTTGAAGAAATAAGAGTTAGATCTCATCCCTGGTTTACTTTTTAATCCACTTTGACACGATGTTTATTGAAGAGAAACCGCTCTCTGAAATACGTAGTGATACTCTTCTGAATATTATTGTAGTATATTGAGTAGGTATGTAGATACTTTTGCATTAGATTATTCATATAATTAATTGTTACTTGACAACAAGTGCCAAATAATGGTATAGGTACTTATGGGTTACATTCAGGATGTCATTTTGAGTAAAAACATTGGCACATTATAATTACCTTTCCCTCGTCAATTCGATTCATTATTTTATTGATATCAATAGGTTTCTTGATGATTTCATAGTAATCTGGGTAGTCTTTTCTGGGAGGTAGCTTCATGAATGGTTCACTCAAAAGTCTGCCGTCACTATTAAAAAAATTACATTATTTTAAAAAATATATAAAGCATATATATGGTATCTATAAACATCACATCACAACTTTTATTTATTGATTATTGTGACTGATGTTCTGTGCTTCTTCCAGATAGCAACTGACCTGTCATTATATTTCGTAACAATAGCCATAAGTTTCCTCATCTGTTTTTTCAAACTCATGTCTGTACTTTGGGTTTTGCTCTTTTTCTTGCTGCTTGTTCCCACCTCACTATCCGAGTCTTCACCTCGTTTTCTCTTCTTACGTGCTCCTTTCTTCTTCTTAGATTTCTCTTCCTCTTCTTCCTCTTCCACATATTCGTCGGTATCATCTATTGCCTGACAAAATAATCGGAAAACATATACAGTATGTAACATTGAGGACAGAAACATCCTGATATTTAGAATTGAGTTGACTGATCTGAGAAAAAATAAATTATTCAATATTACTGTGTGAAAAATTAGAAATGCCCTAATTATTGAAATGAGTCAGACTATTGATATCAACTTCAGTGTTTCCTAATGGAAGAAATGATTGATGATGTTTCTATCTACATGTTCCAAATTCCTATACAGTGTGAACAAGATAAAGATGAAGAGCATGGGGATCTCAGTACCCGTTTCAATGAAACGAAACGTTGTACGGAGATTTTGTGAACGCCATTTTGTACAGGTAAAAAAGAGGCAATGAGGAAGTGCCTTTGGTTTTTTGAAACTTCTCAAATAACTTCAGAAATAAATTGAAACCGAATCGCCAAATTGTTTTATTTTTTTCGAAATCTCCGGAATCAGACAATACTTTCGGGTTTGGTCAACATCTATTTTTTGATCTTTTTATTGCACAACTTTTTACGCATTTGACCTACTGTGTAACTTTCACGACTACCGATATCCCCATGCTGTTCATCCTCACCTTGGGCACACATACAGAGAAAATAAAAAAGATTTTCATGATAAACATCCTTTTCTTCGACACAGTGTATACATAGTTCAAGGGACATAATAACCCATGCACAGACAGTACACTCACAATGAAGTGTTTGTCAAAATGGCGAATTTAGTTTCCTGCTCGACTCGCTGAGAGCTTTCGTGCGAAGTTCTGAAATTGACAGCTGAAATTTGTAAGTTCAAAATTCCCCTCGATAATATGCTCAAAACTAAACATTATAGACGGTGATTGAAGTTAAAATTGGAAAAAACATTGTTATTACCGCCTCCTAGTAGTGTGTATGTAAAAAACATGTCATTTTAGTCAGCCTTCATACAGGGTGTCAATTTGGAAACCTTCGATATGAAAATCTCACGAAACAAGAAAGTTGGATAACGCCGTTTGGTTAGGGGATACTAGATCCAACCACTTAGTCGCGATACACCCCAAAATTCAGTGAACTTCGAATAATATAGTTCTCTGATTACTCATGAATAAGCTTTTGTAATTATTTATATTACAATAAACAAACCTTCATCCATTCTTTTTCCGTTAAACTATCCGTATAATCGACTTCCTTTCTTTGACGCGTTCCCCTACCAAGTATACTGTCATTATCATCATAATTCCAAGGGTCGACTTCATCATCTTCTTTCACTAGCCAATCAGGAAGTTCGCTGATTTCCAGCAAACGCGGCTTCCTAGCCGCACCCAATTTCGCTTCTTCTCTCCTCCTTTCCAAATCGATTTTTTGAAATAACTCGAATTCTTGTTCCGATCTAGCCACCATTTGATTAACTGTTTCATCATCTGGAACCTCATTTTCTTCCTACAACGAATTCAAAAGTTAAGTGTGACAAAATCCATTGTTACCAATCCAATGAAATGGAAAATATGATACACGGCTTACGTATCCCTTTTCCATTTTTGTCTCGAGAGAAAACAAGAACATTTCTGACTGTCAACTACCATTCGATTTTTGTTTTTGAATGACATTTTAACATAACCCTTACCTATCTTCCTCTCTTCATGATAGTCTTAGGACTCTTTTGATGAGAAGAAACGTGTTTGCCTTGTTTATAATGTTTTGTGATTGATTCAACTAGATAGCTCTTGATTTTATCATCAGGCATCGACGATATGTTTACATAAATAACAATGGTAATTCGATAGGATATTCATGCTAGCATTGAACGAAGAAAACTATGGTTGGATGACCGGTATAGTTACGAGGATCAATTCAATGTGAGTTCACTCTCAACACGTTTGATTTTCCATTGAAGCGAATATGGAGGTAGTGTAAAAGGGACACAGCTATCCATCGACTTTATTCTTAACTGAAATACACTATTGATCATGTCAGAATTACAGGCCGTTGGAGGGTAAACAATCTATTTTGTCATATGAAACCAGAAGTAGTGGCCGGGATTGTTTTCCTTGGACTCCTAGTTGGAACCCAAATAAATTTCTTGATTTAGTCAGGTAAACCTGTTTTTGTATTCTGGATGTGGGAGGGGCTATGCTCATCAAAGGTTCCTAACCTAACAGATAGTTTTTGTGTGCCCTCCAAGAAACCGTGTCATGATCACGTGTTCTAGAATGGTCAATAGTTCATAAATACCTGATATTTTTAGGTGTAGATCACTGACAGATGATACAAACAATAAATTTGAAAATTATCTGATGACTAGTGAGCTCAGGAGTTCATCTTCTCATTTAAAAGTGAATTTTTGTTACCCGTGTTTCACGTCATCAAGATCTAGCGGTTTTGAAAGATTTTTATTATTGAGAAGAAGTATTTGTGATGATTTTAAATGATGATTGCATCCAGTGATCTAAACAATAAATCTGAAAATTATCTAATTACTATAGTGAGGTTAGGAGTTCATCTCATTTCATCACCACTACGGTGAAAGTAAATTTCTTGCTATACGTCAGCGGTTTTGAGAGGTGTCGATTTTCAATTTTATTCTTAGAAAGAAGTATTTGTGATGATTTAATATAACGAATTATTGTTTGAAATATTATTTATACAAAATATCAATTTGCAATAAGTATGTTGCTCCAATTGAAACAGTATATTCAACTCCATTGCATATAGTAAAATACTCAATCCTGTTTACTCACTTCTTCATCATCTCCATCTTGATGTAATATGTGCTGCAAAAACTGTTGTCTTTCGGATCCGGTTGACTTTTGATCAAACATGCCGGCTTGAATAACTTTTTCGTCCATGTTCAGCTTATATCTGGCTGCCGCCAAGATCCGCTCCTCAACAGAATTTACCGTCATCAATCGTAAGACTCGAACTTCATTTTGTTGACCGATTCTGTGAGCACGATCTTGCGCTTGAAGGTCCTAAGAAAATAATTTTATGAGAAACAATTTTGGCTATGCATATATATGTATGGCAGACTGAGTAAGTGATAGTGAGAATAGTAAATCTGCTTATGGAGCATTTTTCCAATCGATTATAATCCGAATGAACTATGTTTTTTTTTCAACCCTATATGTTCCGACACTCTCATTCAATTGAGTTAATGTCATAACATTGTATTTCTCGAATCCCTGACTTATCATTAACATCAATTGTATCTTCAGTATCAAATCCCTAATAAATGCACATTAAATGGTATTTTTCGATGTAGAAGTTCACGTAGAATCCGTTTAATCATATCATTCAAACTCTTCATGACTGCTGAATCGGATGGATGGTAATTTAATTTAAGAACTGACTGTTAGAATAGTGAGAATTTATTGATTGATTGATTTTATTACTCCAAAAGAAAAATGATACATCGAATAACAAGGACACATTAACAAACATCCATAACAAAACATTGACAAATAATTGGCAAACAAATAAATTCCACTCTGTGTTTACATATGTTTACTTCAGCTCAAGATGACAGTTTTCACATTTAGATTCTGAGTAATCGAAACTCGCCACATGTAATTTGATTAAATTGTTCTGACCAAAAGTGTTTTATAAGATTTTGAAATGCTTTTAGAATAAGATCGATATTTGACTCGGTCATATTATGTTCAAAACTATTTGACAAGCGAAAAAGTTAAGAGAAACTAGAGTTATTTCAAACCGATAGCTCGGATTTCTGATTAGAAAAAATATACACATTTTGTTAATTGACAACGAAACATAAACCTATTTGAAGCATATTACCTGATGAGGATTCCAATCAGAATCAAATATCACCACAGTATCAGCACTTTGCAAGTTCAGACCCAAGCCACCAGCTCTAGTAGACAACAGAAATATGAAGTATTCTGCTCTTTTTTCGTTAAACTTCTTCAGCAGGTCTCCTCTATCCTCTGCTTTTGTCGTACCATCTAAACGTAGATACCCGAATCCACGATAGCCTAGATAGTCCTCCATAATGGTCATGAGTTGAGTCATTTGACAGAAAAGCAACACTCGGTGATTGGTCGCTTTGAGTTTTGGTAAAATACGGTCTAGCAATTCGAATTTACCTGATGCACGAAAAATATCGGGCCTAAAAATAAATATGAAAAGTTCTAGTATATCAACAGAACAAAAATAAGTTTAAACAGGGTGATTAGAAATTCTATGTAAATAATTCAAGAACATATTGTTGGTATCGAAATAAGACCCCACCGACCTGCATCTACAGTAAGTTGGGTACAAAAAAGATTATCTTAAATTGTGACTGAAATAACAAACCAAGTCGTCGTCGTTTTTAGACATTTCTTCATTTTCTTATTGCTCCACAAATGATGTAATCCAAGTTTTGGGGGATTTGGAGGAGGGTCCACACTTTTATTGGCCAAATTTTATGTTCGAAGATAGAAACTCTGACTTTGAATAGGATGATCTTGTTGGCCATAAGGAAATTTGAGAATTTGGTCTCTTGCATTTGTTTCATACGACTGACCGTTTGCCAGATAATCGTAATCAACGAAAATAGAAGTCACGACATCGTTTTCGAACGCAATAGGTTAGACGCTTGCATACGGAGGTGATCGTATGTCGCATGTCGGCATGCATTTGAGACTGCTATTTCAGAGGCATGCAGTACTGGAATACTTACACTTGATCCGTTATTATTTCATCCCACTTACAGTGACTGTAGCACTGAGGGGGACATTTAAGGGCACATGTTTATTAAAAGAAGAAGTTTTATTTAGATCCCAACAATACGTCCTCGAAATGTTCACATCGAATTCAGAATCACCTTGTATAACAAGATTTGTCGAAATTAGATCCTCCAGTATGTTACAACTTTGCAAAAATCCATTTGAATGAGAGTTAATTCATATTCCTAGGAAATCAGATTGAATGGCAGCCGGTCAATGACTAACACTAAGAGGTCAGTATATTAGGCCACATACCACCTGGAGTACTCATGATTCACCATTCTACATATTCTGCAGTCAATAATTAACTGAAAAATTGCTCAAGAGACGTTAGGGACTGAAAACAAATTAGAACCGCACGACAAAACTGCAAGTAACTCTGTTGACATATATAAAATTGTCATTGTCATTGTTCATTACTAAAAAAAATGTATGTCTAAAAGATATTTGTATAAATTAGTGTGCAGTTGCTGAATAGTCCACAGAAAACAGATTGTAATATATTATGAAGAATATACGAACGATAAATAATCCACGTGTTTCCACAATATAAATAAAATTTACTCACCCTGAAATAACACCACCAGCTATCCCCACATGATCGCAGTACTTTTCCTCGATATTTTGGAACATAAATGGGTGGTTACAAAGCTTCCTGAGCTGAACTATGGTGTTCATTAGAGCTTTCGATCCCCCTTTTCCTTTATTACCTTTTTCAGAACCGTCTGTGAGCAAAACCCCTTTGCTTTGCATATGCCTGCAAAATACATTATAATATTCATTGAACTAATCAGATTTGATACGATATTCAACTTACTGATATAAAACTTTTTGTAAACCGGACATATCACATTTTATTATATATTCTACTTTATCTGGTAATTGAGACTCAACTTCCTTCTTTAAACGTCTCAGAAGGAACGGTCGAAGAACTTTATGCAAACGTCTGATGATGAGAATGGTTTCTTCTTCATTCAGTTCAACCTGGATAGACATGGAAATAATGTATTTCTCATAATATAACACCCATGTTGGTAATGTTGGAACTTAAATACCTTCTCTCCTGTAGTAGCAAAAGGAGCGTTGAACCATTGCTCGAAAGTGGAACAACTCTTGAAAATAGAAGGTAGCAGGAAATTCAGGAGTGCCCACAATTCAGGAAGCTTATTTTGCAGTGGCGTACCAGTCAGTAGCAAACGATGTGGTGCAAGATAATGGGTATTCAAAACTTGTGTTAATTTGCAATGATGATTCTTCATTCTGTGACCTTCGTCAATGATCATGTATTTCCAAGGAAGCTACAATTATTTACCGGTCAGGATATTGAGAATGTGCCCACTATAAACTCACCTTAGCAAGCACACCTTTATCTTTTATAACATACTCATAGGTCGTTAGCAGAACATTGAATTTAGTAGATCTCATTTGACTTTGGATCTGCCTTCTTCCTGCAGGAGAACCTTTATAAGAAACTACAATCACAGAAGGTGACCATTTCTCAAATTCCAACACCCAATTCGACAAAGTTCTGGAATAATTCGATATAGAGTATCTATGGCACCACTCACTTAGAAGTATATTTACTCACGATAATGGAACGATGATCAGGAAAGGCCCATTCACTTTCTTCTTCTCCATCAAATAAGTGATCAAAGCTATCGTTTGAATGGTCTTACCCAATCCCATCTCATCGGCGAGTATACCATTGAGATTGTTGTTGTAGAGAGAAACCAGCCACTCTAAGCCCTTGACTTGGTACTCCTTGAGTACACCATTTATCATGATAGAAGACTGCTCTGTTACTATTTCGTGTACAGTATGAGCTATGCTGTAGTATGTTTGTTCCTCAATTGAGTTTTTGTGATATTCGTCGTCTTCCACCCTTGCCTTTTTGATGACAGATTTTGTTTTGTCGTCTTCTGATTTCAGCTTCTTGGCTGAAACATATTTGTTTGCTGAAATAATGATTTTTTACGACTTCCTTGGGAGTTAACTAAACTCGCATGTCACAAATCGACCAGGAAACAAGGAACATACCAGCAACTCTTGTTGATGAAAGCACATCTGTCCTCAACTTCCAGCTGATCATTTGTCAAAAATACATATAACTTTGGAGAATTTCAAAAATCTCAACAATAGAGAACGCTTTTGCTCATAAAAATGCTTCTGCATAAGGATACATCATAATAAAAGATTTTGGGGGTAGTAGCAAAGAAACTGATTTGGGACATATTTGAAAAACCGTAAGATACTATCATGGAAAATTTTTAAAATTGAGAAAGACTATTTGATCTCGAAACATCCAAAGATAAGTGGAATATCAAAAATTTTTCGAACAAGGTGTCACTAACTATCTATCGAATTTATTTTATGTGTTTAATAGTGAAATGGACCTGTTTCAGTGGAAACATTTATTTCGTTAATCCGAAGTACTCCGAAGTACAACCCTAACTAATCCACTGTCGTGAACCTCCTCAGAGCTTCATACATTTTTCAAATGATTATTGAAATTCACGATATTTCATGACATTAAAAACGCGGAACAACGCGTGACGTAATCACCCGTGAACAATCCAATGCAATCATTCAAGATTCGACTTACGAATGCATTTTATATCTCTTAAGACACGGACAGGACCATTTCTGATTGTCATTTTTATCAAAATGAGAAATACATTTTTTGATTACTTATTACTGCAGATATCAGAGAACAATCGAGGATAGTGTTCGGCGGCAACTTTAATTTCTGAGTAGACACAATATCTTCAAATTACCTACAGAATATCTTGATAGCATTTTCCAACTTTGGAAATCTTTGATATTGAAGATTCCTGATGGAGTAACATCAAGTTGAACTTACATTTTGGCTTACTATCTTGATCTTCATCTTCATCCTCTTCATCAGAGTCTTCATCATCTGTATCGCCGATCTCCCACCCAGGATTCTGCGACAACCACTCTTGTAGCTGGCTGAGTAGGGGTGCTTCTTCTCCAGAGAGTTTTTTACCAGTTGCTGTTTCAATGACAGATATCGGTCTATCTGACCCTTGCGACTCATCATCATCGTCTGGGTTCAAAAGACGTTCTAGGCATAATTTCTTCCTCCTCTTTTTCTAAACAACAGAAAACAATGAATCAAAATTACTACCCGTGAGTTTTCTACAGTCAATACTGAAAAATAATTGATGGATCTCGATTTTATAACTGTTATTAGTACAAGCTGCAACCTTATCCAGCTGGATTGGTATGTTGAGATTAACATTTTTTCATGAATCACTAGTGAATTTTGAAATGGCGCTCAAAATATTTATAGCTTAGTGAATAACAGTATTTTTTGCCAAGTACCTAATGAAAAGGATATTGATTTCATTTTGCATGAAATTTTGTAACATTGGTGCGTGTGATGTTTCTTCATGATCATGAGAATAAACGTGTTAGTTTCATGTATATTTTCAATATTATTTTCGTGCGATAGGCTACTTTACACCTCAACAGCTTCACTACAAAGCACAGATACGACCTGTTCTAGAATTCGCGGTCGTCAAGATCATTAGATGACGTTGCAACATTGAAAACTACGTGAATTTCGTGAAACCTGTCTAACTTTCAAAGGATGTTTTTCTGTAGTTTTAAATGTCATCGCAACGTCATCTAATGACATTGGGGGCCGCGATATTGATCTCACATATGGGGTTTCGTTTCTATAGATAGAACTCGTCTGTCTATGAAATGACAAAGCTCTGGAATTCATTGCCTTTTTCATGTCTTGGAGCGCACGAAAGGAAATTCCTATACTGTTCGAAGAACATCGTGCGTACCTAGGGAGGATGGGGAGAGACAATTCCACGGAAAATGTTCTTCCTAAGAAAGTATTCCCAAGAACTTATAATCTCCGATAGTTCAAAAAAGTCCAATACCTACCTCCTCTCCCTATCCTCTCTAGGTACGTACGATGTTCTTCGAACATTATAGGGATTCCCTTTCGTGCGCTCCAAGCGATAACAAAATACAAAGCTGTTGTGTAACCCATACGCTGATGAAGCTTTGAAGCTTCGAAACATGTCCCTAAGCTTGTATTGCTTTTAACAAAGTATAGTTTTGGTATGGAACACCTCAGATGATACAAATTAAACAAGGTCCCCTTTGAATGTTCCCATTGCAGCTGTGATTTATTGTGTTATACATCCACGGAGATTCAATAATCTATCCCATATTCCACATCGAAAAATGCATTGTATGTTTTTCAAATGTTAATTGTTCTTATAAGCTCGAACAAGAACAAAACCAATAACAGTCATTAACATTCCCCATCATGAAAATTACCATGAAAATGAAATAAAAAAATATTAAACCAACCATTTCTCAGTTTACTTATTGAAATAGGTACTGATGGTTCATGAAACAATATGAATCATAGCATACAAATCCGACTGCAACTAGATGATTCATGAAACAATATCAATCATAGCATACAAATCCGACTGGAACTAGATTTTCTACATTTACAACTGTATTATGTATATGAATACCTTTTTTCTTTTCTCTTCTTCCTGTTGCTTACGCTTCTGTTCCAACTTGTGTTGTTTGACCATTTCAGTGAGATTGCTGATGTACTCATCAGTTTGCGATAGCAAGAATGCTAAACGTTTATCTTTTTTCTGATCAATGAGCTTCCTATAACCCTCTTCATCTTCAGCCATTAACCTTCATTCAACAAAAAACCATATTGAGTTTTCGATAAGCACATTTTCTTTAAAGATATATTTACCTCCTCATACGTTCTTTCTCGATCCTCTCTTGTTCTTTCTTCTGTTCCCTCTCGGCATTTGCATGGTAATTCATGATAGACCTATTGAGCCTAGAAAGCTTCCCTTGATTATTACGATGGAACTCCTTGAAATCCTTGGAGTGCTGCAACACTGAAGTGAGAAACTCTTGATGCTTCTGTCTTTTTTTGCGCTCAGCTTCGAGTTTCTGTTGTTTCTCGAGTTTTTCCGTTGCTCTAGCTTCACGCAAACCTTGCCTTTTGGTGCGCTTATATTGCTTGGGGTTTACTGCTGTCTCTAATGTTGTGTCACGTAATGTGCAGGCAAGTATTTCGTTCCTCAACTGCCTTTGGAAATTGAGGCAGCGCAGAGCTCTCAGTTCAATTTGGATTTGCATTCTGAGCTCTTCGGACATGTTTGTCGGTAGGTTCGAGAGTTGTTCCATTCGTGCTTGTATTCTTGCCGCCACTCTAAAATAAATCAGTTGAAATTCACACTCAATCTGAGTGAATGTGATATGACAATAGATATGTTACCGTGAAAGTCCGAGAGCCGGTGATTGTCAGGATATACCAGTGAATGTCAACATTCACCAAGTTACTTGCCGTATGTCCGATATAGTCATCAAATATCAGTATTTCTAACTTCCACCGGCGATTGTCGACATTCATCATATACTCATGGTGTATGTTCGAAAGAATTTTGTATAAAGAGAAAACAAAATAAAACTCTATGGGTTATTATTTATTTTGATTAAATCATGAAAGAAGTTTTCAAATGAAGATAAAGAAGTTGTGGAACTCAAGACAAACACAACAAACATAATATTAATATAAAAATAAAATGCATTTTATTTCTTGAACTAAAATGTAAAAACAGAGTGAATGTATGGCAACCTTATTTATTGCAACAACTTAAGCTACCATGACACTTTGAATTACACAAAAGGATCTTGTTTTTATAGCTACATTTTGACGTAAAAACACTCGTTTTTGCAGTTACAGCGTGTATAGCCTTGCCCTCCGCTTTTTGAATTAGCTGCTTCTCTTACCGAAATTTCTTGAGCTGAAATCTCATCCATGGAAATTAACTTTTCTCTGCAAATTGCAAATTAATCACGGGTGAAAAGCTACTTCAAGGTGCCATTTTTGTTTGCTATTTACTGCAGTAGCCATAGAGTACAAATTATAATACCACTATCAATCAAACCTTGTGTAAGACTGGCGACAAGCCTGTTAGGACCATCGAGACTATATTAGGACCCGTCGTTTCCGACATCGACCAAAGCTTATATATATGTGTTTGTCGACATCTACCGGTGAAAGACCGAATTTATATCAAAGCTAATAATTGTTCGGTTTTTCAACAATTTATTTGGTGTGTGTCGACATTAACCGGTGTATGTCAACAATCACTAATTTCGATCTTTCACGGTAACAGATATAACAAGATAATCATGAATATAACAAACCATTGAATGGTGTCGAAAAAATGTTAGTAACATTTTGTATGAGAGGTGGACAACAAATGTTCCTTGTAAGTATCAAGAGGAGGTTCCGGCGTAGATTGAGGAAGAGTCATAAACATGTACTTATGGCTACTTGAGGCAAAGTCAGATGTCTTATTCAATTTGCCCGTAAAAATCTTCAGTTCGAATATGTCAATTGATAACTGAAAGGAGACTTAGAATAATTTCCTATTAAATGGGTATAATCTATAAAAGGTAGGTGAAGAAGATATTCCATACCAATATTATCGGTATCTGAATATCTGTGGGATACATGATTGTGGCACACATAATAAAGATATCAATTTAGACATGGGTTCATTTGAAGAGAATTCAAAAAATCTCTTGATATAAAAAAAATGATAGATAGTTTGAAGAACACTACATACTGGTACAGCAAACGTAATTTCTTTCAACAGTTATCAAATGATGTCACAAGTTGATAGTTGATTAATTGTTTGCATGCAATATATGGAATATTCCAACAAATTTAATTCTGTAAAAACTTCACAAACGATAAGATTTCCACAAAATTATCAAACACACGACATATTTCGCTAACACAGTAGCTTCGTCAGGTAATATACTGGTACCACTGGTATCATGGAATTGAAAAATAAGCTGAACTCAAGGAAGACTACTTTGGTGATCGAGAACTGATTTTTTTAACGAGGAGCAGCCGAGTTGAAGAAATATTCGAGATGACCATCAGAGTATTTCGCGCTGGAATTGCAAAATTCACATTTTTTCGTGTTTCCATATGATGACTTCAGAATATTTGCAATGAATCGCAAATAGGAAATGATAAGATCGACAAACGACATCAACTTTGGAATACACTTCATCAAGAAAAAAATACATCAGGTAAGTACTCAAATACATTTGAAATCAAAACTGAGATTATATTTCATCAAAGCTCAACGAGTGATATATTTTTTTGCCGTGTGGGATTCAGCATTTTTTCATCATCAGTTGATATTCGTGTTACATTACAATTTTCTACACATTTGATACTCAAAAAACTACTCCAGTATCAGCTTGTGATTTTTCGTGAATTCACAATTTTCTTTTCGAACATAAACACGTTTTACCTGTTCTCTCTTTCCTGGAGTAACAGCACGGGATCAACTCCAGACGGTTTCGGTATGGCCGTGATCCTGTTCTGTTTGGCTGTTTGATGGTGGTGCGGTTGAGGTTGCGGGTGAGGTTGCTGTTGTGGGTGGGGGTGAGGATGAGAAGGTTGAAGTCCTGGAGGACGCGGGCCTGCGCCCATCTGCATCTGTGTGGGAGCCGGAGGCATCCCATGGGGTTTGAAGTTCTGCGGTGGTGGCTAAACATATTATGATTATTATTATTAATAATAATATAATTTCATTCAAAAACGTTTACGGAATATACATTGGAACATATAGATTGGTATTTTGAATAAACTGGGAAAAACCTTACGAAGTGAACCTTCTAGTAAGGATAAAAAAAAACAAATGTACAGTCATATTCGATAAAAATGCGTACAAGTATTAAAAATAGATGATTTCGGCATTCTAGTTCTCGTTGTGTGAAATTGACTCAGCCAATGTTTTGTGTTTTTGAGAACCTGATATTACTCTACTGTCAACATTTGGTAAACATTCATTTCCGATAGCCCGTTTTACGCAAATAGGATGACGTTAATTTCTCCTTCCAATATACTTGTCCGCTTTTTTTAATACGACTGTACATAGGTCAATAAATATTTAACAATATTATGAGACATCATGTATATGATTCACATTTAGTGTACTGAGCATGGCATTCAATTCTCATAATAATTTATATTTATATATACTTATTCACATATTATTATTCAGATGTTTCTAATTATATTATTAAATGTTAATTAAAGAGATGAAATCGTTTTCAGGGGAGTCTAATATCCAGTTATTGTTACTTTTATCGTATAGTATTGGAGTGATTTTGTTTCAATGATATCTTTTGGAATTCAATTATAAAGGTAACGAATTGAACATTTATAATTTCTACGTCGTACGACTTGTTTGTTTTATATTTGAATGTTATATTATTTTTATTATTGTCATAGATATGTTCTTTGAACTGAATGTCTTTTTCATTTTTGAAAATATGAATCAGTAAATTGTATAATGAAGTTGATCCATATCCATTTTCTTAGATTTCTTATATAAAAGTTCAGTTGGAAACAAATAATCTTTTCCATAAATAATTTTCAAAATCTATTTTTGTGAATTATTTCAGATTTATCAATCATGAGCTAAAGTTAAACTGACGGTTGTTTAGGCACTAATGTCGAGTTATGAGAAAGTTAGAAACCGTGATTGGCAAAAGGCCAGATTTGGTTGCTGGAAGAAACCTCTCAAAGATAACCTTTATGTAATTTGGTGTCTACTTGATTTGTTGTTTTTATATCATTATATATATGGTCGAAAATATACAAAATAGATATAAACAACATAAATGAGAATATTGTACAGGGATTCTATGAATGATTGTAGCATCGTAGTGGCCGCCATTGAAATAGTGCCGCTAGCGATCGATTGAGTCATAGTTCGATCTCCATAAGAGGAAAGCGACAAATCAATGAAATATTTCAACGGTCACTACGATGCTACAATCCTTTGTAGACACCCTGTAGTAGATTTCACAGGAGGTGAATACTCAAGAAATCATATTCCTGTGACAACATACAAAGTTGATATAGGATTTCGATATATCATATTAGTATTGAAATCAACAACAAGTTTTGATCACTCCATCTATTTGCTCTAGGATATTGTCAAACCTTTCATATGCTCCTCAACAAACTTCAAGGTGAAATATTGAAATGACTTCGCGATTTTCTCTTCCTGTTTTTTCATCTATTCCAATATTTCCCACATATTTACATTCAGATGTAAACTGTGTGGCGAGCAAGAACGAAACAGCCCGAATAACCTTCCGGAAAAACGAGGAAATAGGTCGAATTTTGTTTCATGATGGCATCAATAACTGTTGTAATTCATACTTCCTCTTCCTACTTCGCTGACCAATAGAATTCTGATAAGGTACCATAATAAGGAATATTTATTCGTAGTCATGTTACAGCCCACAATGCAAATCGAGGGAGGAAGTATTCGTTGAGAGTGCTTTCATTTTGACATTTACTCATCTAATCCACTCTGTCAGCTAGCGAGTAGAATCAAAATTATAGCAGCCCTGAATATATTGGTCATGTAACAGACAATGTTCTCGTCTCAAGCCATTATTTTGTATAGGACATAATATAAATATATAATAAACGGTTGTTTCGTAATATGTGGGATGCACTTTGAGAGGTCATAGGACGGGCGTCTCAAGAAAATAAGGAAGTTGCCATAATAAATGAGAAGGCTTCGTTGGCGAGATTCAGGGTGTTGAAGTTGAAAATATTTATAGAATTTTTTTATGTCGACCCTGTTTGGCTTATCATGGTGGCAAAATTCAGTTTGTGCTATAGTGCCACAATAACAGAATGGTATCTATCATGGTTATAGAGTAATCTGAACATATGTTTTTGTTAAGAAATCACACATCAATTCCCCTTAACGGTGCCTACCCATTAAATCATACTCAGGTATTGAGTTATATACCAGAATATCGAGCATTTTTCAGCGGTTATCTAGACATTCAGTGAAAATATTTTTCTCATGTTATCTCGCAAAACGAAGCCTTCTACGACTTTTGTTTACAGAAACTTTTTTATCTTCTTGAGACGCCCTATCACCACTCGAAGTGCGTCCCACATATTACGAAACACCCTGTATAAATTCACCTGAGGTGGTAAATGCACAGGCGGAGGACCTGTAGGAGCTTGAGGAATACCAGGTTGCACATTTGGTGGGCAGGGTGGCCTCATCGGCTGAGGCTGCACAGGTCCACTTTCACATACAGGAGGTTCTGTCAATTCACTAGGGCCGCCCTGTGTATAAAAATTCGTCATCATCATGTTTATTGCATCTCATCATTATAGTCTCCCAGCACTGGAGCTATATGCCCAGTCAGTAAAAATTTGTGCGGGGTTACGGAATCATATACATTCAACCACTGGACCGTCTAAGCAAATAATGTACACCAAAACATTACAATCGATGTGTAGTGTACCAAAAGCTTGTACGAATCCGCAAAATTTATGCGAATCGCAAAATATGAAATTCCCAACAGAATTCGACGTTCATACTCATGCGACAAAATTTGCAGGAGATAAGAGTTCTGTTGTCATATATAATTTCTTCATTTCTGGTCCCACCATTGATAGAAGTTCATCAAATTAAAGGCAGGTTATACGGAAGTAATTGAAATAGTTATTAGGGTCATTCAGTGTTTTATCGAACGAGGCTGTAATGATCTCCATACATTTTTCGGCATTTAAAGATGCTTCGAACACCACAGCTACTTTTCTTTGCGTCTGGATACATCATTAGCTCTATAGAGATGATACATTGAAATTAATTCGTCTAGAGAATCCATCCTGCGAAGAAAATTTCATGAAATAAAGAAAAATGATGAAATTTATACCTATATATATATTATAATTCTGTACTTACCTGTAGTCTAGTGTCATTTTATGCATACTATGTAGTTATGATTCCATCCGAAATCGTGAACAAGTTCAAATATTTCAACTTCATTGCAATTTTCGCCATCGCCATTCTATTCGCATAAATTTTCGGAATTCGTACGAGCATGAACATACCTTTGAAGTTATGGTCATTATTCATAGCGAAAAAGGGTTACGAAATGGTACTATCGATCGGACATTAGGAGTTAGCCTACAGTTCCAGCAAACTGTTCCACAAATTTGATGCTCTTCTTCTGAACGGTTTGCGACATACAAAGTGTTTTCGTAAACTACTAGGGCGGTAATTTATTTCCAGAAAGATCTATATATCTCCAATACAGTGATAGACAAGTTAACATAAATTCAGTTGTCTAAACTTAGAATTAGAAAGATAAGCGACCCTTGTGAAAAAATATAAATATGTATGGGTGTATCTGAATAACACACAAAAAAATTCAAGGGGTGATTTCTTGTGATATTTTAGGAACTAGACTTCATATGAACATGTGTCCTAACTTGCTTCGTTTTTGAGATACAGGGTATTAATATTTCCATGAAAAATCTTCTTTCTATTTCCATAAAATGTTGTGGTTTTGTTGATAGTAATATGGAGCTTCTTCTAGTGCAATTAGATTTGAAATGATATTTCCAGTGGCGTCACAGTGGGTAAATTTATCGATATTCATGGTGAATGTCATTGTACACCACCGGTTTTTCCGAGTTTCATATTTTTATTAGATTGAACTATTGAAATAACAACTTTTTAATACTCTGTGTTATTTTTGTATCTAGCTTAGTTTTTGAGGAAACAGTGAAAATTCGATTTGACTCCAAATTTTACAGTAGGTGTTTCAAGACTTCCATTGAGATTACTCAATTAGACTCATTTTGAAATTTCGGGGCTTTCTCAGTCTCCACCCATACTGAATGTTGGCACCATGAAAGCTTATGCAGGAGTGTTATGAATAAAAACAACTTCAACATCCTGTATCTCAAAAACGGAGCAAGTAAGGTTACATGTTTATATGAACTTTATTTGCTAGAATGTAACAAGGAAATACCCCTTGAATTTTTATTCAGATTCTCCCTGTATAGGAAGAGATAATTGGACATATCCCTCACAAAAAGATAACCGTATACACCACCATTCCCTCGATATTACTTCCATCTTATTCTTTGTACTCCTAGGCACATATGTCACGCAGGTAGCTATAGCTGCCTCCGTGGTGACGTTTGCTGTTTCCCTGAGACCTCAAGGTCTGCTGACCGAAACCAAAAATGTGCTTCTGTTTGTTGACTCCGTTTATTTGTTGTTTCGTTTTCTACCAAGTGCTGCCTATCCTTTGCAATAACCAGTATTTTTCTTTGTAATATTAATATTCGTCAAAAATCCTTTTTTTGGACAGTGCTTGTCAAAAAATGGTTGCCATTCGAAAAATAATAGTTATATTAGACACGAAAATGCAATTCTGTCAACTTGTCTTCTACCTATCTATCATACTAGTCACAAAAACTTTGTGATTATAATTTTCTGACATCACCTGAGGTCCTTGAATAAGTTTACGTCCGATCATGGCCACCTATAGATGCAATGTTAAAAGTGACTCGAAAAAATGAAATATAGGCGAAAAACTTATCAGGAGTACTATTTTTTCGAATAAGGTATCATTCGACTCTTCATTTCTTTTGAAAGAATTTTCCAAAATGGCGTCTAGACGCCATTTCGAAAGTTACATATCTTCTATTGAAATTAAAATTTAATGTAGCAAGTCCCCAACTATTCAGAAATTAACTAGAGGGGGAAATCACTTTATGGACATAGTGTATATCTACCTGATGCGTTCCAGAGTTTCCTGGTGGAAAAGGATTTGCAGGTGGCGGAGTTGGACTCTGCGGGGAACCATCCGGTCTTTTTCCTTGTAATGCCATCAGAATTTGAGGTGGTACAGGTTGATTCCTTGCCAAGTATCGATATGCCATGATTTGGTTCCTATTGAACAATTACATGTTGATTTCTAATATACATATACTGGGTGACATTTCGAAAAATTCCCACCCTCAATATCTCTTGGTTCAACTCTCTAGGAGTGGTAGATGATACACTTCAAATCAGAAAGGGGGATCAAGTGGCACATCACTTTGAAGGGCTTTCGATTCTCTTCCAACGGTACCTTAGTTTATCTTTTTCTGTTGAGCAGCCGTGTCAATTAGAAAAATTCCCATTCTCAATATTTTCCTCCCAGTAAATAATATGAAAAATGGAAAAGACAAGGCAATTTCATTCTCAAGGAGAACAGCACTTCAAATGCATATTTTCAGCCTTCTAGGGATCTCCCTAGGAAGGGCAGATGTTACCCTTAGAACCTTGTATGAAAAGGGGGTCAAGATGCACATTATCATGAAGGGCGTTCAATTATGTATCCAATAGTACCCAAGTTTTCAAATTTTTTATGATCAAAATCAATCAAAATCTTCCTACCATTTGGACTGAAAGGAGAGTCAATACAATAATACTAACCTAAAAACCATGCATCTCAGTGCAAGCATGTTCTAATTACTTCTGTAAGTTCAAAACGGCATTTTTCGGAAACTTCCCATTAGGAAATGATGAGCTAGGATACAGTGAAAAGGTTCTAAGGCTGACATCTACCCCTTCTAGGGAGTTAAACCAAGAGGGCTGAAAATATGCATTTTGAGTGTCTTCCTTGAAAATGAAATTGTTGTATCTTCCCGATTTTTCATATCATTTAATGAAAGGAAGACATTAAGGGTAGGAAGTTTCCTAATATACCCGGATTTTTCGGAAACTGCTCAACAGAAAACAAGAAACTAGAGTATAGTTAGAAAGAGATGTGCCATTTGACCACCCTTTCCATTTGAGATTCTAAGGAAAACAGGAGGGGTCGATCCTGGGGGATTGAACCAAGAGGGCTGAAACTAATCATTTCAAGTGTCCCCCTTGAAGATAAAATCTACCTATCTTTTCGATTTTTCATATTAAACTGCTCAACACATGAAACGTAAAATCGCATTTTTTCGATCAAATTTAAGTCATCATATCTTTCGATTTCCTCAACCGATTTTCAATTATTTTTCAGTTTCTGGAAGCTCGTTTCATCGACTATCGAACCTATGGATATGACTATTTCATCTCTTCCGGATGAGATTCTACAGAATGATAATCATCAAAGTTGTGCATTTTTCCAAAAAATTTCAAACGCCTCCCGTTCGAAAGAAAAATGTTTCTATTGTTTTTTGGGGTCAAAAACATATTGCTTCATATGTTTTCTCGATACTGTGAGGAAATTTTTGGAATTGTCACACGCGTTACTGAAATATGAATGTTTTATTAAGATAATGCATAATTTGATGCTCTAATTTCTATTGGCTTTGTGTTCCTGTCAATCTGGTTCGAATGGTGGTCAAAAATCTTGAAATGATGCATGATCAACCTATTCTCCTATACAGGGTAATCCTCAAACAACAAATATGACATAAGTGATAAAAAAAAACCTGTTTTGACGAGCAAAAAAATTTTGAAGAAGGAAACCGATTGAGAAGTTTTCTGGCGACCAAAACGTGTAGGAGAGATTGTCATCACCATGTCCAGTTGCTACAGAATCTGATTTGAATTTTTGGAAAAATGCACAGCTTTGATTATCATCCTGTAGAATCTTAACCGGATAATATGAAATAGTCATATCGATAGGTTTGCTAATCATTAAAACGAGTTTTCAGAAACTGAAAAATAATTGAAAATCGGTTGAAGATATCGAAAGTATGATGATTCAAACTTGATCGAAAAAATGCGATTTTACGTTTCATGTGTTGAGCAGTTTTTTTTGCAATTGCATTACCTCGTTGGTCCCAGCGCTAGGGACAAACGCCCCATAAGTCGAAACTTGTGCGGGGTTAGGTAAGCATGCAGACACAAACATCCATGGCCTAACTAGGATTCGAACCTATGTCTCGGTGGGAGTCCCCATACGAACTCAGCGCATTCACGCTCTCGACCACCGAGCCGCCGGACTGAATGAAAAATAATAAAATACGGTTCTAGAATGTTTATATTTCTTTTCACATATACTCTAAATCTTATAACAGACTGGGTGAGTTAGAAGAGTTGATTCCTCGTGAAGATAACGGAAAGGTTTATGCAACCGGTCCCTAGATTAAGAGAATTATTCGTCTGTTTAGGGCTAATCAATGCGTAAATATAAAACATCACTTAATCCTTTGATCACATTATACACAAGGTATATATGAAAGCAGTAGAGTAATATTAGGTTACTTATCTTTTCACTCAGCACATGCTAGTATTTTTAATTATATCCTACCAGTGAGGTATCTTTTCTCAAGTGAGGTTGCAACATATGGTATATAGTATATTATGTGACTGAAAAAGCCAAAGAAAGACAGTTGAAATTGGAAACAGCAAATCTCTTTGTTTTTCTTTTCATTGTTTGAAAATCATTCCACAAGGATTTGTGAAATAATAAGTAAGTAAATCTAAAATAAAAATATCTTTCAATTCCTCTTTCAAAAATTTTCGAAGGCCGTTGGTGCCATCAACTACTACTGATAAATTCATCAAATCATGAAAACAAAGTTCATATATCGACGTTGAGGTTGAGGCCTGATCAGAACCTTTCATTTCGAAAACTATTGTACTAATAACAAACAATGTCAGCTACCCCCTAGCCATTATTCAGCATAGCATTTTTCGATTAGTGATGAAAACCTCTACTCCAATTATCATTAATTTCGGTAGGTACTGAAAATAATTACTACCCAGACAGCTCAGAATATTTTATGAATGTTTTCACAATGTTCACAACATACCTCCCTCAAAATATCCCGAAGAACGTTCATAGAATATAATGAGAATGTTCTAAATGTTCATAGAATTTTTCACGAGAATATTCATGATACATTTCATTCAAATGTCCTAGTAACGTTCCCAGGATATTTCATTATATTCTATGAATGTTATTCAGAAATGTTCATCGAATATATTATTTAGATACTTTGAGAAAGAGAAACATGTTTGTTTTCTATAAACATACGTCCCAACTTGCTGAGTTATAACTCAGAATTTCGAAGTTCTTATTTTTATATATGAGGTGTCTCTTCCAGAGGGCTTCGTATATTTTCCTCTCATATCGATCTCTGATATATTTTCCGTGCGCTGAAAAAACACCCTATACACTGAGAATATTCCCTAAAGTTTTGGTGATGTTTTATATAATTATAGAATGTTTACTCATAATCTCCCTTGCAACAGAATTATTACCAACAAGTTTTTCAAGGTCACGAATTCTTGAGACGAGGGATAATTGTCTATCAACAAAAACATGAGTGATACCGAGAAAAACATGATCGGAAATTAATTTTGCGTGGGAGATTCGGAAAAAATTTTCATAAATTGGAGTCGCTTTCAATAAGATGATAAGTTATTAAGCCCTACAACCTATTCTGAATAGATGTCATATGGAATTTGACACTCAGGTATGGTTCGTTTCCATAACTGGAATGTGTGAAACATTGAATAACAAACTTGTTATCTGAAATCCAATGTCTTCATACTTTTAGGGTGACTTTATAAAAACTTTTAGCAAAACAAAATTTAAACAACATTCAATTGGAACATATACAGTGTGGTTCAAGATTCAGAATTCTGATCACCCTGTATCTGTTCCAATTATCAAATGTAAGTAGATAGTAAATCTGAAGTTGAGATACGGACATGAAAGCCATTTTGACCGATAATGAATAGTTTCGTCACAAAAAAATTCTAAAGTTGAAAAATCTCGATTTTGAACACCCTATATTTCTGTAATCATTTTCGCTAGACCCCAAGTGTGCCACATTGATGAAATCAGGTTTCCGGGAAGAATCTAAAAATACAATGGAAAATAGGGTGTTCCAATTAAAGAAAATCAAATAGTACCCTGTAGATCGTTTGTTCCGAGCACCATGTATTTTCTGATGTAGCGAAAAAAACTCTATCGAAAATCATTTTAGATGATATTTGAAATTTTGCAATCTTTTCGAAAATAACTGAGCTAAAGGGGAGGAGGGACATTTATGGTGAATCACCCTGTACTTGTGTTGTGACCCACTAAACATGTAATGTTACAAAATATTGCCACAATATATCGTGAAGCTTTCTTCCGTAATATGAAAATACAATATTGTATCAATTTTGCTGCTATATTCGTGTTGACAATATAACAGAAATACTTACTGACAAATTGTTTGTAAGTTACAAAATGAACCTTTCAATCGAGTTCCAATAGCAATATTGCATCAACTATATATTCTCAATAAAATTGCAACATCACATGAATCAACTACGAACAATATCAGTGCAACGTTACATATGGAATTTTCAATTATAATGTTGCATTAACATCGATACTTCATTGAGTTTTTAAATAACATAAGCTAACTACAAACAATATAGCTACAACTTATGGGATGCAACACATATTCGATTAAAAATTGTAATATAGCTGAAATATATAAAATGCTACATTGGGTATCGATCGAGAGACGCCATTTCATGAAATGCCTACGCGCAGTCGCAAACTTGCATTCGACAAACGCTAGCATCTCAGTCGCCATATTTGTTGGTTGGCATCGGTAACAGGTATTTTGTTGTTGTACACGTCCAAATGGCAAATAATACAAATAAAAAATATACTTTGGAATATAAATTAAGGTATATAGTGCTGATCTGGCGATATGTGATATCAGGCAGTTGGGAAGGTTTTGAATCGCAGTTTGCAGTTGATGGTTAGGTAAGTCAATAGTTATTCTAGGTTAGGTGTACATTTTCATTTATACATCGTTTATTGATCTAAGCGGATTGTTCGATCGACAATAAATAACATAGAACAATTATAATTATTCGTGTACCTACTTATAGTATATAGGACAACCTTGTGAATTCCGAGTGTGCAGTCAAAGTGAATCAAAGTGTTCCTACTCTTTCATTGCTTCTGTTCGAGCTTTCGAGTCTTCATCGACTCTTTAACAGGAACTCCATAGAACATTACAAATCATATTAAATCAATCCTTATGATTACTGAAACACTAAAAAACATTGAGGTTTTGTTTAACCACAAATATCGTTCTTCAGCGAATATTCTCTAGATGCTGAAAAGGAATATTCTCAGATAAATTATGAACATACAAAAATGGATATATATTTATATAAAGCAATACATTGAGAATTCGCATTCTCTATGTGATGAGAATATTTACTCTTTTTCAGTTAATTCAATAGAAAACAACTACTTTCCTGGCTATATGCCACGACGAACATTGAATTATATCTATTGAACACACACGATAAGAGTTTGAAAATAAAATATAAAAATTTCTGAAATTGAGAATTTGCATTCTCCTTCAGACAAAAATATGTATATACACACATCATTCTGAATTAACTGAAAAAGAGTAAATATTCTCATCACATAGAGAATGCGAATTCTCAATGTATTGCTTTATATAAATATATATCCATTTTTGTATGTTCATAATTTATCTGAGAATATTCCTTTTCAACACTTTCATACCCAATCAGGGGGTTCAAACTTGAACGATGGAAACTTGTGATTTTTATAGACCTCTAATCGCAGATTCGTGATAGAGTCTCAATTCAGAATTCATTTCCACGCCCTGTATGATGAATGTCAATTTATCATACACCCAAAAGCATTCTCTAGATGCTGAGAAATATTCATATTATCTTCAGTGTATATTTATAAGGATACTCTCAGAATACTATGGAAAATGAATATTTCCAGAATCAAGTATACAATCCTCAACTTTCAAGTTCAACCGGTAGATGAACTAACTCAACTAAGAGGTAGATTTCTGACTATTTTATTTTATTATTATTCCCTTTGTTCCAGGTTCTTATGCAGTGCAGTGCCCATAAGCCGTAGTACCACGTAATATCGAAAATATTCAGAAATTTTCTCAATCAACTTTCAAATTATTAAATAGTCGACACGATTATTCTATTATCAGAAAATTGTTGCTATGTATAATCCATAATATAAAATATGTAATTTTCCTATACTTTTTATTTTATGTTGCCAGTAACCTTGATAAAATATAACAATGAGATTACATTCGTTCATTGAATATGAAATGTTACTGTACTTTATACACAATGTTACAATTACTTAGCTGGAATGATTCATTCGCGAACATTACATTCATAATATTGCTGAACGTCCGTTTCAGTAGTTGCTGCGACCTTGCAGTAAGATAGCGACAATATCTGATGTACCTAACACACATAACATTGAAATACTGCTGCAATATTGTTGATAAATTACTTTGCTTAGTGGGGAGGGTTACTTCAGATGGACCATAAAAAAATTACCTCAATTGGGTCATCTGAGATTGACTGAATACAGAATTTGATCCGTTACTCCTAGCTCTGAGGGCCAACAACTGTGAATATCTCGGATCTTCTTGCATTCCTTTCTCTTCCATGCTGTCGATGGCCCTCTGGAGAGCGTTCAGGTTTTCTTGGCCTTGGGGAGGCGGACCGGTGCTAGAAGTTGCTGGCGGACCAGGTGACAGATTCTGAAATAGTGTATTACATAACTAGTGTGGAAAGTGACATATTGCGCATGAAATACCCTTTCCAACGAGTTATGTACAGGCTGTCCCATTTTCCATGTCCTTACGGGATATCCATGGACGTATAAAACGTCCATGAGGATATCTCACTCATTCTCAAAGAAAGAGATTCGCGGTTCTCGTGAACGCTGGTTACTTCTTTGTGAAACTCAAGATACCGCATACAAAATTTGCATAACTCGCTTTTTTTTTTGAGATACAGGGCGAAAAAGTTGCATTTTGGCCCCCCCCTTGTATTTCAGTTATCTTTCAACTTATCGAGAAAGTAAAAACTGTCTTTCATACATTTTTTTACGTTGAATCCAGTGGAGTACTTAGATTTTCAGAATAATCTGTAATTATTCAGAAATAACCCATAGTTATGTATATGTGAAATACTAATGCTCTGCGCTTTCTAAAAATATACCGGGTGACCCAGTATACCTGTTCCAATGAATTATCTCAGCCATTTTGAAAAATAAAAATCAGAAAATTTCATGATCTCCAATTCGTTCAAGGAAGCTTCAACTGAGAAGAACAAAAATTGATCAAACCGGAAGTGACTCTAACTTCATTATTTCAAATAGCATTCTGTATATTTTTGCAATTTTTGATTTCTACTCAAAATTACCGTTCCAACGATGTATCTATCACACTTCGTATTTTAATTTTGATTTGATGGAGAAAACGACAATTGCAATTTCAAATTGAAGGAATCGCAGTAGGCTACGATATTTTTGTATTCTTGATTTTGACTTCAATAATAATTTCAAATTATTAGAATTGAAGTAGATCATGTAATTTTCATCTTCCGAAATGGCTGAGATAAAATATTAGAACTGGTATACTGGGACACCCAGCATAGCACTTATGAGGAATTCCAAGTAATAGCCATGAATTCAGATAATATCTAGTTTTTCAGTAGATATTTCATCGATGGGCCTTGTAAATATCTGGCAAATGGCAGCATTGTCTGTATCACGAATTTTCATATTCACCTTGTTGCTGATACAGTATTTCATCACACACTAGTTTTAATTTCACCAATATTCAGCACTATTTATTGACTATAAAAGCTGTGGACCTAATTAGTAGGTGGGCATGAAAAAAAGCGAGTGCAGATTGTTTCATAATCTTTGTGACCTACCTGTCAAATTTTCAAAATTCTCGTACTACGGCAAAAGAGAATCGAGGATATCGTAACAATGAAATTTTAGAAACCAACTTATGAGTAGAAAGTTTATATATTCGACAGGTAGGTGACACGGATTAGGAAACATTCTATACACTCATAAGGTCCACAATCGGGTCCACAGCTTTTATGTCAATAAATAGTGCTGGATATTTGTAAATGTTGAATGTTGTTAAAATTGAAACTAGTGTGTGACGGAAAATTGTGTCAGCAACAAGGTGAATATGAAAATGTGTGATATGGACAATTTTGTCACATATTTGGCACATCGATGAAAAATCTACTGGAACACTATCTAATATTATAACTGATACTCAAAATATCCTTTTCCTTTAAAAAAACATAACTTTGCGTTATATCTGCCTAATTATAGCTTATTTCGAAAGTCTGGCAGTTTTTACTTTTCGATAAGTTGAAAGAACTGAGATACAGGGGCGGTCCCAAGATGCACCATTTCAATTTCGCCCTGTATCCCAAAAACGAAGCTTTTTATGAAAATGTTTTTGAGGTATCGTGAGTAAAAGAGAAAAGTAGCCAGCGCCCGCGAAAACCGCCAATCTCTATCTTTGAAAATAAGTGAGATATATCAGTTGCGACCTTTTTTCTTTAAGAACATACTTACCGATTTATTATCAAAATTTGTTTTCAAACTTTTATTATGTATTAACCTTTGTATGATTGTTCTTCTGCAAAGGTGATGTTATTATTTTCAAAATTTCATTTTATTATTTTCAAAATTTTATTTTATCATCTTCAAAATTTCATTCTGAGACACAAATGACCTGTTATGGATATGCATATGTATATGATACAGTCAAATAAACTATCTATCTATCGAATGTCCCGTTTTCCGTATTAGACCAGGCCCATAAGCAGGAAATCCATCTCTATAAAGTGCAATAGGAAGCATTTCATGTAACAATTGAGGAAACAACGTTATTAAGGTATTTCGACCCCGCTGAATACGAATCTGGCTGTTGCCAAAGCGAAATTTGGACAGGAAGTCCGGTATCCAAGATGGCGGCCGAAATGGTGGTCAAAACACTGTTGCCCCATATCTTCATTTTCGGTTGGCTCAAAATATTGATTCAAACGCCGGCTTAGTGGTTTTCTCGGATGCTTATCATATTGAAATGCTCAGAAATTACTTACCCTGCGCCTGGAGTGCGTGGGTTCCAAAATGGCGACCAAGATGGTCGCTGAAACTTTATTGTTTACGTATTCTTGTATTTGGAGTGCAATATCTGTCAGATATACAGTTTTTAGTGGTTGAATATGAATATATACTTAGTACGTTGACTATTACTGTATTTGTCACATATTATGGCTTGAAAACTCCTTGATAGATAGAGAAATGGAGGGCAGATCCTCTAGTACTTGTGCATCTCGGAGGACCCAGTTGAGATGCCTCTGATGAAGATGCACTCCTCAGGGTTCTGCAGTCATTCCATTTGATGGACCCTACGGCTCCTAGCTCTGCAACTTCGCCACTAAAGACCGGGCAACCAAAGAAATTCAGATATCGCTCCTTGAAGCGAAGAAGAGCGGATCAGATCTGGTTATCAACTTTGTAAATCAGCGCCTTATTTTTCGTCTGAAAAACCTGTCAAAAGTTTTTATGCTAAAATACCAAAAAACTGCTTTAACTCTCTCGGACCACTTCAAAGTTAAGGACACTAAAGATCGGAAAAAGGTTGTAGAGGCTGACAGGAATGTTTTACGTCGTCTAATTGTAGCTTTCGAAGCAGGCAGAAAAATTGACTTGCCCTCCATTTTGAAGCACGAGCTTCTTCCAGTACCTTTATCGATAGCGGAAATGGATGGCACCCTCAGATCGTCTGAAAAAGCATCGATGATAAAACTCGTTGCTGAAGGCATGGAATGCCCAAACTCCATTAACATTGATCGGAACACTTCGCAACTGATTATAGACGGTCAAAATTTAGTAAACAGCATAGGGAAACCAGCACTCTTTGAACTTTCAAAGGGACCGACGGCTTGCGGTGATGTGCTTTTCCAACTGACTTTGCACAAACTATACCATGCATCAACCGTGAACTCGTGAGACACTCTCTGTTTGAATCTTTTTCGTTCAATTCAAAACTACAAAGTCTTTTATAGGGTGTCGGCATATATGTTAGAAATCACAAAATTTTGGTATTGCCGAATTACAAAATATACTCAATGTACTGTGAATATTTTGAGTAGGTAATTAGGCAAAAAAAAGTATCATACTAAAGGATTTCAAGTAGCCATTTTCCTTCAAGAAAAAACAATATTGATCTCAGCAAAATGAGAAATCCATTCTTTTTCGTTAGTTTATCATCGGTCTAATAATTTCTGAATCAAGATCAAGTCCTTCCAACTACTGCACTGTTTGTCGAACTATAAATATAAATAAGTGTAATCATATTTTATCGATTATATTTTGTTTAATTAATGTACAAATCAATACTATGTGTATTTATCATATTTTGGACTCAAAAGGTTATGAATATCATTTAACCACGAAATAATAGTCATTCAACATGTGTTTCAGAATAGTGATTTTTGTATTATTTTCGGTAAGTAGGTATATGTACGTACGAACTATACCTAGAGATAGAAGACTAGATAAACGATGGTATGTATATACATATACACAAAATGGTTTATCAACACTGGTTCACTCGTTTAAATACTTTAATTCACTGAATTAGATAATCAAATATTATAAAAACTATGAAATTCCTTACATGCATGCATGATGTACAGGGTGATTCATGAAGAGTGCCACATAGCCAGATGAGAGATAGAGGAAATCGAGATGAGTTGATGTATGTATTTAAAAAGATTTTTCAACCATTCATGACGAATATACAGAGGATTATGTGAAATTGCAATAAGAGGTTGATGACCGATATTTCAGAAATAATTCGTCGTAATTTGATAAAATTTGAGAGCGATGTTTCTCTATTGAAACCGTCCAAGACGTACTAAGAAAAAAATCCTGAGGCAAACTTGGCAAAAATTCATGTTTCATTGTTATGTCTATAATAAGTTCACTTTTTGATCACTTCTCTCAAACATTTTTATTAGTTTCAGGAGGATCAGACAAAAGTTAAAATGGATTTTCAATTTTGACCTGGCAGATAATTCTTATCTTCCAACTGGATTCATGTTAATTGATTTTTTGCACATTTATTGGCAGGAAAGAGCATAGTTGAGAGAAAAATCAGTACTTACTGATTTTTTGATAATAAGAAAAAGTTTCGGGGGAGGGGAGGGATAAAGAAGCCACTACCCCCAAAAATGTATCACTTTGTAGATTTTGAATATATTCGAAATGCTTCAAATGATGATCTTCTAGAAAGTATTGACCACACCCAATTTCAAATTGATATCTCTAAAGATGAGCGAGATATTTCAATTACTAAAAAAAATGATAATAATAAATTAGCCCATGTTTATAAAAACTTTTTTGATTAAGATGATGAGATCTATCACCCATTTTCGTTTGTACCTTAAAACCTGTATATCACTCTGTATATCAAATGTGCTGGTAAACCTCTGCAAGTCTCTTTTTCTGATCAGGTATATATCATATACTTGATAATTTCCTAACGTGTTGAGTGCATATAATAAGCTTCATTTATTGCAGTAGTAAATTAAAATCCAGCGTCTATTTATACATGATAGAATCACTGAAGGTTTATAATTACATATTACAGGTAATGAGTATCTACTCAAGCAGAAAAAAATCCTATCTTCATGGAACTTTGCATTGATTCAAAAAATTCTTAATGCAACTAATTTTTCAAAGATATGAGATTGATCTTATTTTCGACTGTGATCAATAAAAGTAGGTACTAAAAGACGATTGCAAAACAAAAATATATATAATATATCAAAAGATAACAATTTTAACTGTGGTCATATTCTGATATTCTGATTAGTAATGAGCTCTCCAAGGGGATAATGATGACGATAATAATAATGATACGTTTATTATTCCCTATAAATACATACTTTAATATAGTAAATGAGCATTGGAATAATCCAGAATGAAAGAACATTTTCGTTTTACTTGGTACTCTCGGTAGAATGTATTCGTTTTTCCATTCTGGCCAGACTTGACGACGTTGACCCCTTAAACACTCTGTATTAATAAAAATGGGTATGGTTAGCTCTAGTAGGTACCTCTAGTGCTTTTCGAGTGTCTCCCATTTGTGTCTACTGGTCATCATTCTTTAACTGGAATCCATATCTGTTGACCAAATTTCAAGGCCACTGATATAAAGCAATCAAATAGTGATAATTTTCATGACCTGGTACTGATTGGTATGAACCAATTTTCCACTCGAAAAGCCCTTGAATCTCGGTATCTTCTTTGTTCCGTCAACATAAACGGATTACAATATTTGTGCAGACAGAATTAATCATTGCATTATTCAAACAGAAAATATATTGTTCCCCAATGGGTTTCCAAATATTTTCGTAGATTAGAGCTAAAAAAAGATGACAATGGAATGAGATCAAATAGAGAAAAAAATAAAAAGATGTTAAAAAACACAAATGCATCTGATATGCGTAAATATGATATAAAATTGATAGGTACAGGGAGATTCTAAATAATGTATATCCAAACCACTAAATAGATAACGCTGGAACGTTCTTTTCAAAGATACCTCAAACATATGTGGATTTTGATTTTGGAAGGGGCATACAAAAAATATACACAAAATGTGTTCAAAACGATGCGATTTCATACACATCTATGATTTCAAAGATATGTTTCTAAAAATAAATTAGAAATGATCCCCCTGACGACTGAGAAAATATTAAGAACACATTTTTAATAATTATAATAATCTGAATAATACCGCATGATCTGCATGAGATGAATATTGATTTCACCTTCTCGGGAATTTTCCTGTCATTTCCGAAGGAATATATTATAATATCTATATTTGAATATCACTTTGAATAAGGGGAATATTCGTAGGTGATACAAAATAGCATTGATGATTATCGAAGCGCATAGCGCGAAATTGGTTTCCTAAAGCATTAACATTATTCGTTCCGGGAAAAAGGCGGCTATTTTCTAAATTAATCATTAACGGAATGAGTTGTATTTGTAGATATTATTTCAACTATATTTTAAACATCCATTTCCATTTATTCTGAATTGCAGTTTTCGCGTTATACATCTATAACAATACAACAAAATTTAGAAATGCCAAAATGGCGCCCCATGTCATAGTTAGAAGTTATATTATTGTTAAACCATACAATAATGAGTTAAGGATGACTATGGAAAGTGATTGGAAGTGAGATACAAAAAAGAAAATGAAAATATTCAAACCAACCAAACGTACCTTTTGAAATTAGTGGAATAATTCAGGATAATATTGATTTCACATTCTGGAGGACTATTAATTCTTATTTTGTCATGTTCCTAGGCGATGGAGGGAATATTTCCAAAAGAATAAATTGTTATTCTACGTTTCTGAAAGCTGTGCTTTTGATGTTATGATTTTCCAACAAACTGCCGCCGAGTTAATTAAACATTTTCAATGCTCAAAAATCATATAATTTCGATTCGATAAATTATTTTGATGACGGTAAAAATAATGAATCTCCCTGTATTCGTTAATAATGAGCAGAACCTCGATCGTTCATCTAAGAACAAACCAATCTGGGATAAATGAATAGACATATTTACCAAGGCCATCAACTATACTATATTATAAACATTCACCTACATTCACAAAGCTCAGTTACAAATCGAGTCAAGTCAAATCACCTATATCTTGAAAGTGATAATTTTTTTATAGATATCTGCCAGCATGGCCCAGGAACCGCAAGAATATCTCGATTTCATTTTGCCATTGATCAAAGAAGCCGGGAAGGAACTTCTCACAGCAGATAATTACCAAGTGGAACACAAGAAAGAAGTTTACGATTTGGTTACGATTTACGATAGGAGAATAGAAGACATTTTGATAAACAAAATCAAGAAGAAATATCCGAACCACAAGTGAGGTTGCATTTGAATTTTGCTTCATCATATGTCTTCATGTGTCGGGTAGAAACTATCCAGACAAATGGAAAACTCAAATGAATTTATGTTGAGAAAGTTAAACTAAACTCCATGTTTTTTATCATATTTCTTCAGTAACATGGTTCATATAGATATCGACATGAAAATGAAGATATGATGATTTCCCATCGATTGATTTTTTTATTGCTATCATAATCATTCCATTCAAGGGGAAGGGAACAAACATACCATAGGAAACGAATCAAGATGGGACAAAAAATGCTTATGAGAAACAGTTGTTTACCTAAAAAGTCGATCCTAAACGTTTGGCAATTCAACCCTAGGTCACAATGATATGTACACTTTGTCTGAGAAGAGTACATATTAATTTTTGAACAACATTACATGATATACAGTGTGTCCCACATTAAGCAGTATCAACCAGTATTTAATTCGTAGATTTCAAATTTCATTTTTTCAAATTTAGGTCGTAGTCGATGCGATGTACATTGCCGAATATTCAATTATAAGTGATATAAGACATATTTCTAGAGAAAACTTAAAATCATGTTGAGAAACATCTAAAACACAATCATGTTTCAATATTCACGAAAACGCAGTTAGAAGGCGTTTTTGATTACGAATGATTCATCATGTAATCGATCTGTACTCATCATATACCGGGTGATTCATTAAGGGTAGCGAGGTACTATATCTCAGGAACTAGAAGTCGTACGAGGTTGAGAAAAAAATTCTATCGAGGAAATCGACCAAGGGAAATTGCTGGAAATAGTTTTTTAGTTTCTATATCTACCGCTGGAGGGCGTAATTGCTATGGTCGTATAAAAAATTGATTTTTCCAGCGAATTTTTCAACATGAACTGAGGAACAGAAGCTATCACGCTAATGCTGTTAAAATAGTGCATCTTTTTGTTCCTACACTTCTTTTCGTACGATGTGAAATAAGGGCGGTAGACGAGGTTATTATGAGATTGAAGTTTGCAACTGTCTTCCTTTATTTGTTCATGGCATGGCATGCTTGACCACGGAACTTTGGATGCTGATAAAAAAATTAATTATTTCTTCAATAAATTCATTGATAAATATTCTTCAGACGATAACTTTGAAACGCAAATTTCATTCACTTTTTGAAACTGATGAAATAATTATATCATTTCATTCAAAATTTTGGCGTAAAATCAAAAAATTCAGAAATGTTTTAATTAGGCCCCCTAGTGAGTGCAGCTGGAACCAGCATGACACTGGTGGTTCAATCAACAAACATCACTCTCTCGAACGAGACCAAGTTTGCTGAATTCAGCTCAGTCAAATCAAAGGTATAGGTATTTCAGTCAGGAAAGGTTCAACCTCGTCTACCGCCCTTATTTCACATCGTACGAATAGAAGTGTAGGAACAAAAAGATGCACTATTTTAACAGCATAAGCGTGATAGCTTCTGTTCCTCAGCTCATGTTGAAAAATTCGCTGAAAAAATCAATTTTTTATACGACCATAGCAATTACGCCCTCCAGCGGTAGATATACAAACTAAAAAACTATTTCCAGCAATTTTCCTAGGCCGATTTCCTCGATAGAATTTTTTTCTCAACCTCGTACGACTTCTAGTTCCTGAGATATGGTACCTCGCTTCCCTTAATGAATCACCCGGTACATCAGGATGCTGTTTGCATAAGAAACAAATTCATAAGTGATGAGCCTCAAATTACTCTTTTCCTTAAGAATTAATTTTTGAGAAATATTATTCGTTTCATTATCGTTTATAGTTATCATCTAGGTAATCCTTAAACGATTGAGTATGTAATCGAAAGAACAGCAGATGATACATGCTCCAGTAGATAGCACAAAACATTGTGTTCAGCAGAATTACAGGAGAATTACTAAATAATTATTCTAGGAGTATTCGAATGTAATCATGATATCAAAATAATTCTTGTCTTTTGCGTGGATAAATAAATAAAAATAAATTAAAGTCACCTTGTTTATCATGATAATATGATCATCGTGGAAATTGAAATATATTTAAATATATATGTGCTCAAGCGGTTTCCGAATATCGCGATGACATATATACTAGGTAATTTAAAACTGATTTCTAGCGTTTTCAATCGTTCATAGTTGGCTGTGTAGTGCAATAAGAGAAATCGAACTAGATCTGATAACTAACTTAACTAAGAGTAGGATTAACAAAGTTGCCCCAATTGTCAGCAGGAGCGAGACGGTACTGTTTCGGCCTACCAGGCCTCATCAGCCGCTCTCGGTCCGCTGACAACTGGGAAAACTCTACGCTTCGGGTATATCACCCATTTCGAAGACGCATCTAGTGGCATATTTCTAAGGTAGGAACATGGGATCGCGACATACACTCGCGATGACGCTGCCATCTATGATCGACACGTGTAGACCCCTACGTCTACAAAATTGCAAAGTGGTACTACGAGTTCACCACTCTGCTTACAGATGACACTACCTGACTACTTGAGTGAAAGATCCACCAATCCCATTCATTGAACTAGATCTCATAACAAAGAAATCTAGGATGAACAGAGTTGCCCTAATGGTCAGCAAGAGCGAGACAGTACTGTTTTGGCCCACCAGGCCTCATCAGCCGCTCTCGGTCTGCTGATCTTCTTTGCAACGTTGTAGACGTAGGGGTCTACACTTGTTGACCATAGATGGCAGCGTCATGCAGTGTATGTCGCGATTTTATGGTCATACCTTATATCTATGCCAGTAGATGGCGATAAATCATGTAATACTCTGCAATAAGACGAATGTATACTCAAGAATGTAGTTCACGTTTAGTACTAGATGTCGAAAAACGAAATTTGAAATCGTTCAACGAGATAACAGATACTCAAAGTGGCCACAGGACTGTATATAGGTGTGTTCATTAAACTAGTGGATTATTGTAGGTTCATCGGAGAGGAAGAATCCGAAATAAACGGAATATCGAACCTGACAGACACCCCAACTTGGATTATCGATCCGATAGATGGCACCTCGAATTTCGTCAGACAAATTCCCTTCGCCGCCATTTCCGTAGGACTGGTGATAAATAAGGAACAAACAATGGGAGTAGTTTATAACCCGTTTTTAAATGAATGTTTCACTGCCATTAAAGGAGAAGGGGCGTATTTAAATGGAAATAAAATCAAAACGAATGGCCAAACTGGTAAGATATTTAAACAAACATGTCAGGTACTTTTCTTGTATTCTCTTAGTGAACTTTTACTCAAAATGGCCGATTTCTGATTGATCCTAGAGACCAAAAGTGGGATTGTCGCTGGAAAACTCAGGTCAAAGTTTTTTCGCTCGCAACCATATTTCATCTAGTATGCACCTGTCACTTCAATTTCTCTCGTGTCAAACTGGATTGTTGGATATCATTGTTCTCGCGTAAAATAGCAAGATGAGCCGTTATAGGAAAATTTCGTCTGAAGACACTACAGAAAATATAAAGATGCAAATTCCTCAAACTGCAAGAGTAAATTAACACGAAGTTATCGATGAGGGCAATTATTATTGGTGTTTATTTATATATTGTCGTTGATTTATCTTGCCAAAAACACTCCAATTTTTTGTATTGGATAAATTTTGACCTAGGGTCTCGCAATTTTTTCATTTCTGTTTTTTTCGCACAATTAGTAAATTACTGATTGGCAAAGTATTTTTGTTAGGAAGAGAAATTTATCCGAATGAAAAAAGCTCACCTTTTTATTGATGACAAAAAAAGATAAATATAGAAGATACCTCTTTGATGGGGAACACTGTACACATCGATGACTTCTAATGATATTAAATGTGCATCACAATACATTATCATTATGATTCGCATTTTTTTTTTTTTTTTCAGATATCAACAAAACATGTTTCACCTACGAGTTATCGTTAGCAAGGAACGAGAAATATGGAGACATGTATATGTACAGGCTCAAACATTTAACAAGAGTGATACCAGGGTAAGTCACACTGTAGACACTAAACGAACCGATTTTTCGACGCCTCGAAATGTGCCTGTTCTGCAGCAGAAAATTAAAATAGTGTTCATCTTCTGCTGAGGATGTTTATATAAACTGTGTGACAAATGGTGTGGTCCACCTGACTATTTCCCCCAATTTAGAAATCAAATATTGTGAAAATTACTAGTCCAATTCTGGAACGGTTTGTTTCATGTTGTGTATAGTTTATGAAGAGTCAATTGCTGCCGCACTCTCTGAACTTCCAAAGGGACCGACGGCTTGCAGTGATGTGTTTCTCCAACTGACTTTGTATAAACCAGTATAAACTATAAGATTCGTTTGGGAATGATATGGTTTGCTTACTCTTCCCATAAAGTTTGAGTTTTCAGATCTACAGGGAAAAACATTGACCCATTACAAATATGAATATTTTCAAAGTTATCCCAATCATATGAAAAGATTTTCGTTTTTTTTTTCTAGGGCATATTATGCATGCAAGCATCGATATCCGCTCAATATCAAAGGAATTGAAGTGATTAATTCTTCCCTATTCTACTTCTCTATCCGTCAATGTTGCAATGACACATATCAGTCATATGAGTCATCTTTCTCGTATATCTGAAATATATATTTTCTACAACTGCTATGAAAAGTAGCGTATTTCTCATAATGGGCTTATATCACAAAAAAAAATTATTTCATAATTCGATCGAACTCACCCAAACTAGCTATCACCACCGCAAACCGTTTCTTGCTGTGAGCACCCTACGTTTTATAAAAAATTATTGAAATCTCCAATTTTTTGGACCTCTGAAAACGAGGCGATGATGTGACGTCAAAACCCTAATACTGAAACAAGACTATTCCAGACAGAGATGAATGATACATGATTTCTGACAGAGTGAATTAGCGCGAGATCACAGTTGAAAGAAATAATATATCAGTTGCCTCAGTCTCCGTCGGGCGTTTGGTATTTTCTTTTAACTATGGCGAGATGAGGTTTCTACGACATAAGAGGGTCCGTTTTCAGAAGGTACTATTATTTATATCCAAAAATAAAACATTCCAGTTGATTTTTCGATCGAATTATGTCGTCAATTATTATTTAAGTATAAAAGGATCATTATAAACATGGTTTGAGTTAAAAGTTCTACTAAGGTGTACACGCCCATTACTTAGTTTCAAACCATGTATTGCTCATACTGTGACAAATATTTCTTCTCACGACACTTTGCTAACACCACATACATTTTCATGGAGAATCGACAACAGTCGACCAAAACTTAGTTGGGTGCTGTTCAGCTCTGAATAGTTGTCTCAACTGTCAACAGAAGTTTTTGAAATTCTTAGGGTATTTTTCATTATAAAACCATACATTACTTGTATTCTTTGAATTTGAGCAGTTATAGAAAAGGTATAGTGTGCAACATGTGGGGGAAAGTACTTTTCTTCTACAAGCGTGCGTGATTCACCCTATACCCGCACGCAATTCAGTTTGCAAAGTGTAATTTTCCCGCAGTAGTGCGGGAAATACATTTATATAATATTCTCGCAAAATATTAGTTTTGGGTGACACAATATAAAAAATGAAAAATGATTGTTATATAAATCCCCCTATATCCTTTAATTGATCTGATGTGGGGAACAATTGTTGTCATGTCAATCAAAACACGAATTACTTAGTGTAATTCTCAGAGTGATAGACAGAGTGTTACTGTCATTTTCGATTCATTTCTAATTGCGATGAAAAACTTCCAGCTACAGATGCGATACAGATGAGTAATTGCCAAGGTAGTAGTAAGAAAGGTCTGAGAAGCACTACAAGGGATTCATTGAATGGTGCAATAGTAAAAAAGTGAAAACACCGTAATATAAAGAAGAAGTATTTATGGCTCATTTCCTAGAAATGTCTGAAACCTAGAGGCCAAACACCATGGGCATGCTGGCTTCCGCAATAAGCTTACCTACATAATGCTCCAATCGGTACACACAATAGATATATCACTAATTATTAGAAGATAGAGAATATATCACTATTTTAGTTGTTCCGATTTGCAGGAATAATTGATTGAACAAATCAATCAATTTCCTACGCTTGTAGAGAAAATATTGTTTCTACCTCATGCGGAAAGTGTCTTTCCCGCACTCGACTGCTGTCCCGAAGTCCGCTTCGCGTCGTTCGGGTCAACGGCATTCGCGTGCGAGAAAGTATCACTCTTCGCACTTGTTAGGAAAATACTATTCTCGTTGCACTAAATACTATTTCCGCACGCTCATAGAAAAACATCTTGAAAAATCAGGTGATTTTTGTGTTTCAGAATCAGATCATATGGTTCAGCTACAATAAGCTTATGCTATGTAGCCGCTGGGCGAATAGATGCTTACCAATGTGACGGCCTTTATCCATGGGATGCTGCTGCAGGAGTTCTTATAGTGAGAGAAGCTGGAGGTTATGTTTGCGATTCCAATGGTAACGTTTTTTCTTTTTTCCCTACTTGAATTAAAACTTCAACTGTAAATATAACTCTCGTGCCGTTGGACATATTTTCTTCAACTGTTTTCTTCTTTTCAGGAGGAGAATTCAATTTGATGGATCCGAATTACTTAGCCACCTCCACAAAGAAACTTTCGGATGAGATTATGGCAATTGAAAGAATTGCTGATGAAGAAAGAATTAGAGATGCGAAAGCAAAAACCGAAGGATAATGAAGAAAAAACATGAAATTAGTAATATAAATCCAATGATGTCTGTACTTAATCAATGTTACTATGATGATAAGAACAAATTTCCAATAATTTATGGCTAATCATTACTCTCCATCAACATGGAATAAGTAATTACGCAATAGTAAGGTAGAAAATACATTTTTCTAAGCCGAGCTGTATAAGTTTCCAATATGCTTCAGCATCGAGAGAAATGAAGAGAAGAGACAAGATATGTCTCTTTAGAACCATATAATTTGTTATTTGGCAATAATAATGTACATTTAGAGGGACCGTCACAGCAACATAAATGACAAAATGATATGTCTCGTTTTCTGAGCCATAATAATAATTGTCTTGGCATGTCTTGGGAATATATGGTTGTTCAAAAAACTGATTTTGTTCTGGAATAATAACTATTTTCTTGTCTCTTTCAATGAAAAATTGGTCAATATTATATTTATATATTAGTTAAAAACAAATGGCAGATGAATTTTTCTGAATAGCTCTGACTTCATGTCATAAGCCAGGTCAATAAAGAAATTTGCGTATGACAAACACTAGAGTCACTAACAAACACCACTTCTCATTGTATTGTTAATTTTTGCCCTTCGAGAGCAATTACAGTGTTTCATGGTATGGGATGACAAATATACATCTGCATAGATATGTCAAAAAAATCGGACAAAATATAGAGTTGAATTTGTTGCCGGAGAAGTCTCGGATGAAATATGAAGGAAATTATAAACGATTTATGGATTTTTAATTTTGCTGATACATAACAATCAGCAAAGTAACCACTTTGCTGCCTAGGCAGGAAAAGTAATACTTTGCTGATTGATATGTGTCAGCGAAATTAATATTTGCTGCCAATCGGAGGAAAACGATTTTTTACCACCTCCCTTATTAATGGAGGTGTAAGTATACTTCCAGGTCGCTATCACTGTCCATTATATAATAATTTAAATATACCGATATTTTTTCGCACAACTGTCAGAAATTTCATGAATTGTCAAACCAACAACTGTGATTTCTATCAAATTTTATTTAAATTGAACACTATAAAGGAATAATAAAGAGATTGTGGGAATTGTATTAATTCGCAAATACATATTCTCCCATATCATTATGAACAATCGGAGAAAAAATTATATGTTCAACTCGGCAGCAAAGTAGATTGACTGCCGAGGCTGAATTTATAGCTGCCTAGTTAAACAAATAACTATTACTAGCATTTTCCCTGTTTGAAACTGCACAAACTTGATATTCTGTAAGTTCCGGCTTTTGTCAGAATAATAACATATGTCAATAAATTGGATGCGCGCTCGTAAAAAGTAAGTCACTTCATTAATTTTTTCCCGTTCTTTTCAGAAACCAAAACAGAACTACAAAATTTTGCCATACAGTGTTGTTTTTAAAATAAAAAAAGTTTTCTGTTTTTCCTTGAGACAGACCTGGATTCTGATCTCGATTTTAATTTAGTTTTAATGGGTTAATATATATAAGTAGAATATTCCTTCCAAGTATGGATATATTATACAGAGTGGTTGAAAAATTATGACCAGATGAAGATTTTGCGAAAATCAAGATAACGTCCTTTACCTCAGTTATAAAACACGATAGACACATTGATGTGGGGTGATTTGGAATTATCAAAGTGACCACTATATCTACCAAGTATTGGATGACATTCAAATCTGAAACACCTTTATAAACTCTCTTGGGTTTTACTTTTATAAATTATTGGTGTCCTAGAATCTACTTGTGTTCTCAATAATAATTATTATTGTATTGAATTGGATTATTTTGGGTTTCAATAGAGTAGCAGTTAAGAGGTACCTAGCCACTTGATTTTGATTTCCAATTCAGACTCTCATTTTCTGCAACATGAAGAATAGGAAAATTGAATGATATTCAGGTTTCATAGAGTTCTCCCAAGTGATTGATGATAACCTGTAGCAGTCTGCTGATGGATTTTGAACAAATCTTTCCTGGTGAAGAAGATCTTTTACTTCTATCTGGCAGGCGGTCATCTACAATTCTTACCTGTCTCTGTGGTGGATGTCCCATAGGTGGCACTGGCTGCCCTGACTGTGGAGATGGAGGATGCCCAGGGTATTGTGGCTGCATATTTCCTCCATGTGACCCTCCCATGGGTGGCATCTCGTGTCCCTGTTGTCCCATATGCCCTTGCGGTGGCCCTCCTGAATGGCCCGAGCCTCCAGGATGGTTTGGAGGCATATGATGAGATGTCTGATGAGGAGGCCCTTGGTGAGTAGGCCCCTGATAAGGAGCAGGATAGAAATATGCATGATAATGTGCAGGGGACAGAACTGAGCTGCCATATATTTACGTCACCTGGAGGTGGACAGTATAAAATTATTTTTTCTGTGATGGGAAAAAAGTTTGGCATTTCATCCCTGTTGGCAGATTATAAAATTTCACTTTCATAAATTACTTATTTCCCGTGGGAAAAAAAGAGAGTACTTTTTTACCGGATATATATCACATATACAGTGAGGACGTAAAAAGTCCTCCCCCCCCCTTTAACCTTTGAACGGAACAAGCTAGCAAGGGAGGGTAAAATTCAGGCAAAAAGATACATCTTTCACTACTATTTAGCATGAAAATGGTTGTGGTCACGTGACCTAGTGTCAAGTGGGCACCATCAACTTTTTTTTTTCGATTATAAAGAGGGGTCACGTGGTACCTTGTTTCGGAGGCCTTTCGATTCTTTATCCATTTCCGCTTTGTTTGTGCAAATCGGTATGGCCGTTTCGAAATGACAAGCGTTTGAAATGTATGTAATATACCTCGGAAACAGTGAATCACGTTCGGATTGAATTCCAAAACCGATTTTTTCGTGTCAATATGTGAACGATGAACATTTCGAGCATGTTTGTGTACTTGTTACAATTCCTACTTGAAATTCTATCGCGAATGAAAGTTATTTAGGTTTTTTATCCATTAATATAAATATATGAAGCAAATTTCAATCGCTTGTCATTTTGAAACGGCTTGGCCGATTTGTACAAACGAAGCGATGTTGGATAGAGAATTGAAAGGTATTCAAAACATCAAGGTACCACGTGACCCCTCTTTATATATTTCACGTCGATAATTTCCAAATTTCCAAATTATGTAATATCTTCTCAATATTGATTCGTCTTCTCTTCTGTCACAGACAAAAAAGTGTATTATACACGGGAAAAATAATTGATTTTAGCTCGTGGTTTTTTGTCTCCCTCCGCTACGCGTCGGGAGACAACACAACCTGGAGCTAAAATACTTTTTTCCCTTGTATAATAAATAACTATTTTTCTGTGACAGGAAAAAAGTTTGGCATTTCATCTCTGTTGGCAGGTTATAAAATGTCACTTTTCAAAAATCACTTTTTTACCGTGGGCAAAAAGTGAGTACTTTTTTCCCGGATATATATCACATATATATACACTGTTGATGGCTTTTGTTGTGCTATAATTCCGAAAAATGAGTAATAATACCGTGTCCGAGAAAGAACTGCAACTCCTTTTATCTTCCATTCGACTTCGCGGTTGCGTATATTACTAAACAACCACTGAATTCGCAATTTTTTGAAATCAAATCACAAAATTAGACTGACAGAAGTGACATCAGATATTTGATTACTTCAAAAGAATGATAAAGATGCCTACAACGCAGGTGTCCCTACTGTTAAAAACTTAAAATTTCACGTCGATAATTTTCAGATTTCTAAATAATGTAATATCTTCTCAATATTGATTCGTCCTTTCTTCTATCACAGAAAAAAATAGTGTATTATACACGGGAAAAATATTAGATTTTAGCTCACGGTTTTTTGTCTCCCTCCGCTACGCGTCGGGAGACAACACAACCTGGAGCTAAAATCTACTACTTTTTTCCCTTGTATAATAAATAACTATTTTTTTTGTGACGGGAAAAAAGTTTGACACTTCATCTCTGTTGACAGGTTATAAAATGTCACTTTCCATAAATTACTTCATTCACACAGGAAAAAAGTGAGTTCTTTGTGAAACAATCTGATGGGTATGGTGGTAGAGAATCAACATGATTATGATCGAGAAATCTACAGGGTGGTCAAGAACCAGTGACATTGTAGATTTTTTCCTTTTATCCAGATTTCAAAAGTTGAAAGCAAAAAGACCTTGGAACATATTCACAAATTACTCTCAAGTTATCATGGAATCGGTATACACGTATACACTGACTTCAATACAATGTTTTATGAGCTTTTGCATGAGTTCAATTATCAAAATTGACAATTTGGTTTACTGATCCAGAACCAGTGTATTCACCCTATTTTTATAGGATGTGACGGAAACTGAAACTGATGATGAATTGTTGATAATTGAAAATGAGAGGAAGAACATCTTCTTGCACTATTTGTTTTACAGACCAATTTTGATTGTCATTGACAAAATACAAATAATGCATTCAACAAATGACACTAAATCAGACACAGGAACTGCTGCCAAGAAAATATTACAGAAGGTCTATCTTTTCCAACTAAAGTATTGTCAATTCCTAATCAACTAGCATTTTGTTTTTTTATATCATGGATGAGGAAGTAGGTATAGGTACCTGATGAGGAGGTCCTTGATGAGATCCTTGATGAGGAGGTCCTTGATGAGGAGGTCCTTGATGAGGAGGTCCTTGATGAGGAGGTCCTTGATGAGGAGGTCCCTGATGAGGAGATCCCTGATGATGATGTCCTTGATGAGGAGATCCCTGATGAGGAGGTCCCTGATGTGGAGGTCCCTGGTGAGGAGGTCCCTGGTGGGATCCCTGATGAGGACCCTGATGAGGAGGTCCCTGGTGAGCAGATCCCTGGTGAGCAGATCCCTGATGGGGAGGTCCTTGATGAGGAGGCCCCTGATGAGGAGGCCCCTGATGAGTAGGCCCCTGATGAGGAGGACCTTGATGGGGAGGTCCTTGATGAGAAGACCCCTGATGAGGTGAACCCTGATGAGGTGACCCTTGATGCGAAGACCCCTGATGAGGCCCCTGGTGGGGTGATCCCTGATGAGGTGGTGGGCCTCCTGGTCCCATTTGCATGGGAGGCCCCTGAGGCAAAGGACCCATGTGACCCGGAGGATGAGAACCATGTGGGGGCATGTGTGATGGCATAGGATGGTTTGAACTTGGCATCGAAGTGGGAGGCATGGAAGGATGTCCAGGTGAAGTCATAGGGTGTGGGGGACCGTTCATGTGGCTCATTGAGGGTTGATAAGGACTGTGAGGCGAGTGAGAAGGAACAGGACTTTGGCTAGGGGGGCCCATTGGACTGGGAGCCTGTGGTGGAGGCATTGGGCTGCTTTGCGGAGAGTGACCTGACATTATTTGTCTGGAATATTGAAAAAAATTGTTTTGAAATCCTCAGAATTGGATTTGTATCTCAATATGGGCCAATAAATAGCCTGACTTTGGACAATTTCGAATTTTTCATGAAGATAACTATTAATATGTCATATTGGTCCTCCTCCCAGATTATATCATACAGCCGCAATATCTCGGCTATGATGCTTGGGAAGAAAACTTGAAAAATTAAACTCAAGTCGAACCCATATGACTTTTAGGCCGTTGTGTCGAAGTCAACTTTTGTCAAACTACCTCTATATAAAACCACCCCCAACTTAAAATTTTTAAATTACACCCCGATAGTTACACCTTGTACGTGAGAGATTTATCACGCTCAGCTCTCGTTCTGATGCGCAAGAGTAGGTTTTCAAGTGTTTTTTTTAAATTTGAAATATTGTCACGTTCTTGACACAATATTAATTCAACATAAACATTTGCAAAACTAAACAAATTATATAATATATATACCGGGTGGCTACGGAAGTATTGCCTACGGAATATCTCTGTTATTGTATGAAGTAGGTTTGTGAAATTTGAAGCGTCGATATAATGACATAAGAGCTAGAATTTGAGCATAATGATATGTCGAAGTTGACTTCCGGTCTGACCGGAAGTAACATCAACTTTCTTATTTTGAATGGAAACCCTATTTTTTTTTTCTTTTCGCTCCATTCAGCATTTAATTCCCTTTCTAAAGACATATCACAAGTTGGTATCCAACCAGAAACTAGATCAGAAAAAAATTATTATTGAAATTAACCGAGTAGGCCGTGGAAGCAAAATGAAAGCAAAAAATTGAAAAGTTCGCTATGGAAACCATACGTCACTTTATAACATGGAAAAATTGGGAAAAAAACAATATACTCTGTAGGTCCATAACTTAAATTGGAACATACAACTTTTTCTTGCCTGTACTATTCAGCATAACCATTCCTTTCTAATGATATAATGGAAAGTCATTTTTTGAAATGGAATACCAAAAAATCCAATTATTATTCTTCAAATAACAAAACAGATAATCGCCATACGCAAAAATAAAATTAAAAATAATAGTTTCTGGTTAGATACCAACTTGTGATATGTCAATAGAAAGGGAATTGGATGCTGAATAAAGCGAAAAGAAAAAAAAATATGGTTTCCATTCGAAATAAGGAAGTTTATGTTACTTCCGGTCAGACCGGAAGTCAACTTCGACATGTCAATATGCTCAAATTCTAGCTCTTATGTCATTATATCGACGCTCCCAATTTCACAAACCTACTTCATACAATAACTGAGATATTCTGTAGGCAATACTTCCGTAGCCACCCGGTATATATACATGTGACCCACTTCAAATTGAAACACCTCTGTATCTCACATAATCGTTGGAAAAGGATCCTGAAATTTGCTGGAGCGAGAGATATACCAGAAATGCACTCTATGAACAAGTGGGGTCATCTTCAGGGATATACACTGCTCGCCAACAGCCAGCATGGAACCACCCCAATTTCCGGAAAATCAGGAATCAAAATAGGTCGAAAATAACTTTAGATTCGGAATCAGGACGCCCAATTCTACTATTCATATTTTTCCTAAAAAATTTTCAGTTCTGATAAATTAAATTTTGTCGCACTTTTTACGGAAGCACCCCCGTCTCTTACGTAATAGACTTTATCTTTGGACTTTACCTTCCTCCTGCGAATTTTAGAAAACTTCCTCAATAATTACGTGAGATACGGGGGTGCTTCCATGAGAAGTGAGACAAAATTTGATTTTTCTGAACTGAAAGTTTTCTATGAAAACTAGCAACCCCTTTTCTGCCATTGGCGTAGAATTTTTAAGGGTGCAATTATTTAGAAAATCAAGTTCTACGCCTATGGCTGACAAGGGGCCGTTTTAGTATGAAATTTAGATTGTGCAACTCATTCACTTTAAAAAAGGCACTCTTGATAATAAGACTCGATTGCTCTCATGGCAATTTCATACTCAAACTCCTTTTCTTCCATTGGCGTAGAATTTTTAAAGGCGCAATTATTTGAAAAACCAAGTTCTACGCCTATGTATTATTATCGGACAAAATGTTAACACCATTTTTTTGCCACATAAAACTCTATCAATATACCAAATTCCAGCAAAATCGCATAATGCCGTATCAAATTTTTATGGGAAAAACGATTTTAAAATTGTAACTTCAAGGCCCTCTGGAGCCCAAACGATGCAACTTTGTACGGAGGTAATTTTACTTAAATCGACTTATTTTGGTCTAGGGAATATGTGGTTTGTTTTTGTAAAGACCTTTTACAGACACCCTGTATATCATCCATATGGCTCAATGAATTGAGTTCATTGATATGGCTAGACTTCTTTTTGGAATTGGACTAGAGTAAATCCGGGTACATCCAATCCAAGTCGTTTAGCACAAAATAAGCCTGAAACCGAGGTGGATAGATATCCTGAAACTTTCAACTTGCCGGCATTCGGGCAACACTGTATGGTTGATAGGCACGAATTCAATACTACCTGAATTGAAGTAGCTAGGAACAGGACGCAATAATTAATCCGTGCGGAGACAAGTTTACAAAAAATTTCCGGCCAAGAGCGTCGGTCTTGGATCGGCTGATCCTGAACATAGAACATCGTTGAAATAGCGAATCACTATCAACCTCAACAGTCAATGCCTTCACAGTGATTTTTGATTATCTCAGTATAAACATCTCAGATTGATCACTTCCAGAAAAAAGGTGCTTCATTTCGGGTAGTATTGAATTCGTGAGGTTCACATCTCACATCTTTTTCTTAATAGTGTCATAGTGTCAGCTGTCACTGCTGTCAATTTTCATGAAGTTGTTGAATATTTGTTTATTTTTAATTTCAAATTTATTTAAATTAATAATTGAGAAGGTAAGTCAAAGTTGCGGTTTCTATTTTCTCATTATTTAATGAATGGGTGAGTCCGAATTACACTGTGATCGTGAAACATTTTTTTGTTCAATGCTTTTTGAAATATCTAATTTTCAATTATTATTTATGTGTATCTATCTACTAGTCCTAAACTAATTTTTGTTAATATTCGAATTGGATCTAATGTGAACAATTATTTGCTTCAAGTAATTAAGCATAACATAAACATAAAAACATACCTTTGTCTTATTATTTCACGATGTAGATAGGTCGTATTTCAACAAGAAATTGAATTAATTAAACATTCCAAAGAAAACAGGAGCATTTGTAGATGATGATGAACTTGGTATATTTGTTTAGTTATGAGAATACTACATTTCCTATTAATTTGATAAACACAACACTCGCCATTTTCTGATTATCTCAAATCATTAAAAATTCATCCCTCCCGGTTCCGGGACCCGGATTACTTTGTTTTCATCATGCACCCTCTCTTTTCAGTTCCGCCAATAAAAAGAACAGGTATTGAACTTGAACATGCGCATGTATGCACATAGTTCGGCGGCAAGTTTGAAAATATTGCTCAAAAAATGATATAAGGATATAAATTCAACAGTGCAATGGAACTCTCACAGGAAACAATATTTTGTGATATTAAAGATTGCCTCTTGTTCTTCAACTATCCTCTTGCACATTGTATGGATGATAATGAGCTAGCTGACGTCTTCCATGCTTCCAATAGGTGTTTTTTGGTGTCATGGATGTTGAAACTTTATTTGGGAGATATTTACCAAGATAATGTCACAGTGAAAGAGGGTAATGCAGGCATGTTGGGAGATCTACTTCATGAACTTGGCTTTTGCATGAAAAAACAAAAACTATCCTTCATGAAAGGAGACTTGGATCTTGATGCACAAGTAAGTTTCATTTTACTTAATTTTTCTCTTATGTTCACACTCTTGGCTCAGATCCAACTCAGATACTAATAACACAAACTTGCCATTTCAATTCATAAAACATACAGAGTGGGCCGTTGAAAACGAAACAGAGGCTCTGTAGGTCGCCAAAACCGGATTATAAAAAAAATCTGAAACACATCAACTATATTTTCGAGGGGGACATCATTCTATAGTAATTTTCCTAACAAGTGCGGAAAGTGATTCTTTCCCGCACGTGACTGCCGTTGACACGAACGACGCGAAGCGGAGTTCGGGCAAGCAGTCGAGTGCGGGAAAAAAACTTTCCACATGAGTTAGGAACAATATTTTTTCTACAAGCGTAGGAAATTGATTGAATCGTTCAATTAATTATTCAAGCAGATAGGAACAACTAACAAGTGATATATATTCTCTATCTATTAATTATTAGTAATAGCTATTGTGAACTTACAGTTTGACGCATTATGTTGGTTCATTGCGGAAGCCAGCAGGCCCATTAGGAGTTTGGTCTCTAGGTTCTAGACACTTCTATGAAATGAGCCAAAAATACCTATTCTTCATTTGGTTTTTTCATTTCTTTATTGTTGCACCATTCAATAAAACGCGTGTATAGCTTCTCATACCTTTCTCAAGACTTCGTTGGTGATAACGCATCTGTATCAAATCCCTATAGCTAGAAGTTTTTGATCACATTGTGGCATTTCCACTGAATCGAAAATGACAGTAACGCTGTGTCTGTCACTTCGACAATTTCAAACTTATTTGAGGTTTGATTGGCATGACAAATTGACGTTTCCCGTCAGATCAATCCAAATCTATAGGGGGATTTTTATAATAGTCAATTTTTATTTCTCAATATTTCTTAATTTTTACAATAAATAGTGCAATTTGATGGATGATTCTGAACATACATACTTAATACTGCAACAAACAAACTTAAACTTTTATATTCCATCACCAACCACTTATATTACTAGCGATTTTATCATATTTTTGTTTTCCCGCACTGTTGCGGGAAAATGACACTTCCCAAACTAAATTGCGTGCGGGTATAGGGTGAATCACGCACGCTTGTAGAAAAAAATATTTTCAGCCCTGCGGCGTTGCCGCTTCTAGAGAAAAGAAGCAACAACTTTGTTATTTCAAATGGAACACCATGTGTTTTATTGCATTTTTAGATTCTCCCCGAAGAGCTGATTTCATCAATGCATCACACTTGGGGTCTAGCTGTGATGGTTTCAGGGATATAAAGTGTTCAAAATCGAGATTTTTCAACTTCAGCATTTTTTTGTGTCGAAACTATTCTTTATTGGTCAAAATGGCTTTCATGTCCCTATCTCAACTTGTGATTCACTATCTACTAACATTTAATTGGAACAGATACAGGGTGATCAGAATTCTGAATCTTGAACCACCCTGTATTTGTTTCAAATAAAATAAGTTGAGATAGGGACATGAATGCCGTTTCGACCAATAATGAATAGTTTCGACACAAAAAAATGGTAAAGTTGAAAAATCTCGATTTTGAACACTTTATATCCCTGAAACCATTACAGCTAGACCCCAAGTGTGATGCATTGATGAAATCAGCTCTTCGGGGAGAATCTAAAAATGCAATAAAATACATGGTGCTCCATTTGAAATAACAAAGTTGTTGCTTCTTTTCTCTAGAAGCGGCAACGCCGCAGGGCTGAAAATATTTTAGAATGATGTCCCCCTCGAAAATATAGTTGACGTGTTTCAGATTTTTTTTATAATCCGGTTTTGGCGACCTACAGAGCCTCTGTTTCGTTTTCAACGGCCCACTCTGTATGTAAAGTAATAGACTTAATTTTACAGAGATTCTAAAGAGGCAATCTCAAAATAGTATCACTCAAATTCTGAATTTAAATGCAAATCATTTTTTCTACATGTTCAGTACACCACTGTATATACGGGGTGTCCCCATCAGGGGTGTCCTGAGAAATGTTGAAGTCTCTGGAATTCAGGAAGATTATTTTTTTCTCAAATTCAATTCAATTCTAGCAACTTTTAATCATATCTTTTTCATGCATTGTATATGTGACAACATGAATTCATTGAATTTAACTGATTCTCCATCGGCAACACCGTTTTTTGTACTAAGGTGAGGAAAAATCAAGATATATAATTGTACAGTGTATTTGCTTGCTGTTTTTATTGAAAGGGAATCCCTATAATGTTCAAAGAACATCGTGCGTTCCTAGGGAGGATAGGGATAGGAGGTAGGTATTGGAATTTTTTTTGGACTTCTGTAGGTTATATTGCTAGCTTTATGTCAAACATAGCAGAACCAAAATTCAAATCACATGTTTTTGAAATCTTATTGAGTCCTCAATAAGTTATCAATTTATTCAAAGGAAGGAGGGAATTCTGGAAGTCATCTTCACAAATTTTAAAGGTGTTTAAGTAATTAAACGGGCATCGCCTTCTCAGGTGAGGCACTAGTCGTTCAATATCTGAGATAAAGAATTGTAGAGCACGGTCGGCACGGTTAGTACTTGGATGGGTGACCATTCAGGGAAACGCAGTGTAAGCCCCTCCACACGTCTGTACCAAAATAGCATATTATAGCTACAGCTATGAGCACAAGATATGGTACGGATATGTTGTCCTTCGGAGGGGACGTTAAGCCGGCGGTCCCGAGGTTATGGATGTTGAACTCGTTAAAGATACCTCTACCTCTAGTTGGAACACCAGAGGATTCGGCAAAATTTCCGGTTGGGGGTAGTGTACTCAAAAAAGGCCGACGTTGAAGAAACAAGAAGATATTAAGTATAGACATTTCATATACCAAAAACTACGGGAAAACATTTGTAACTCCTGGCTTAGATTGAAAGTTAGACAATTTTTTCAGTAGTTTTCATATCATCGTAACGTCAGATGATGACCTTGACTACCGTGAATAGAAATTTTGGCAGCCAGCTCCTTATCTAGTTGTCACCCGGTATATACCTATATTAATTTTGAAATTCGTTTTATTTATTATAATTATGTCATATATTTATTATAGGAATATTTCTTATAATTTTAGATCGAAATTCTGTACAAAATGTTTAAATCCATTAAATCAGTGAAATCTTCAGAACATAAAACAAATCAAATATCTTGTGATGAAATAATGCTGTTATCAACCAACGAGTTGAATCTTTTTCCAATGTATGGAGACATTAAAACATCACATTCTGTTGATACTGATTGTAATGACACAGAGGAAAAGCATTTATCAGTCAGTGGAGTTGATGCAATAACAAATGAGGGTGAACATATTGAATCTCTAATGGATCAAGTTCAGGAAGAGCTGGCGAAAATGGAATCTGTTTGTAGAAATATTCCGGAGACAACTAACAATATTCAACAGGATCTACCAAATATTGTATATGATCCTGATTCTTCAAACATTCTGGGTACCTGTGTTGGCCATGCCAAACAAATCAGCCAGGTATGTTCAACTATATACAGGGTTATTGGAGCTACAAGCTACAATGTCAGTTGAGTGGAAAAACTAGTAGTATTTTTCCTGCTGATTAGGATGATTAAATCGAAAGAAAAATCGAACACCACCTTCACCAGTTATGTCAAAAGGTGAAATAATTTTAAATGGGACACTCAGTATATATGCAATATCCTTAATCGATAGATAATTGGATTCTGAATAAAAACTATCCCATATATCGATGATTTTTCAAATTTGTCAAAGTGATTATTGTGTTAGTTGAGGATGGCCGAGGTACTATACAGACTTACTGGTAACTTGGCCTTACCATAAAGTGAAAAGAAGTTGTTGATAGCTCAGTCATTTTTGAATTTAGGATAAAAGTTTCAAGACAGTTTTTGTGCAGAACCGAATTCCCTATCTATCAATTAAGAGTATTGTTTACTGGGTGTCCCATTCAAAGCAAATGACATTTTTTTAATCAGCGAAGAAAATACTACTAGTTTGTCCATTTAACCGATTTTGTAGCTCCAATAATGATAACCAAGTTAGCAATAGTGCTTACTTGACTTTGAAAACCCATATGTGATATACGGGGTGTTCTATTTCTAGTTGAAAATATTTCAGCTATACCTACAGTGTGTTTGATTTCAAACAGTCCCCCTTTCTTTATCTCAGCTATTAGTCCTGCGATCTTAACCAAATTTGGACGGACAGGCAAAGCCTCGGGCAAAGCCATTAATATGATCAGATTTTCAGAGACGAACATCCTCATCAGTGCCGTGCTTTTTATTGAAATAAAAATGGGAGGATTTTTATGAAATCACTATGGCTGACCCGCCAAACTATTTGATACAAAGCCGTTCTCCATATTCTCCTAATCTTGACGATGGAATCATAATCTCCAACTCCAAATATCCCCATATACCAATTTTGAATAGAATCAAATCATAATAATTACAAAACTCATCCGCCATATTGGATCCGCCATCTTGAATTCTCAATTTCAAAAATAGCTTACGACCGAATACCAAATATACACGAAGATTTTCATAAGAATCGGTCAAGCCGTTTCGGAGGAGTTTGGCAGCAAGAAGAAGATATAATTAGAAATTTTTTTCTCCGGTAGGTAGAAAATCGTGATCTGATTAAAAGAAACAAGAAATACTATTTCATATTGAGATCACCGTGAATATTTTTCCCACGACCACTTATGAAAGCAGCATATAGCACGCTGTGTTGTTGCTCAGAAAGTATATCTCATATCACCATAGCAATGCGAAAGTGAAAACCAACAGTGTGGCAATATTCCCGCACGCTCACGTGATCTTTGATTGGTCTAAATAATGTATGGATAATTAAAATACTGAATTATCATTATTATCATATTTGCCTACTACTTACCATCATTGTATGTTCATTTAATTTCGTCGTGACTTGGCACCTGCTTGGCCATTCAATTTTCAAACCGTATCACTCTCAATTTTCATTCTTCGGAAAGAAATAATTATTAATTTACCGAATA